ACAATATAAGAAAAACAGATGGGCCAATTGTCATGAAACTCACAGGAGTGGTCATTCCTGCTAAAACGCAGGTTGAGTTCAAAAATCAGCTTAATCGGGCCATTATTTCAAAGAAATGCCGTTTTTTCACATTTCCTCAGATTCATTTCTTAGGCATGTTAACAGTTTCATTATTTAATTAATAAGATACGTAAAAGTGTTTGTTTGGCATTTCCTGCATCTTTACAACATTATTAGTTGATTATGTAAAAATGATGGTAAACTTGTTATCGTGTATTGTGTAATAAAGTTTCAAAAATGGAAATAAACTCATATCATTGCAGTTTGTCAAATTCAATCATTAAAATTTTGCATCAGAATTGACAGTAGCCTATTTTGTGCATAGTTATTTCCTGTTTTTTGTCTGTACATTTGACAGCTTTGCTGCCTTGTTAAATTGTCGAATTAGACATGTGATTTATTTCTATTGTTGTAAATAGTTATAAAATTGTATTTAAAGTGTTTAGCTGAATGTGACGTGAAGTGCTTTAAAATGCCCCGAAATGCCTACTCCCATGCTATATTAGTAGTATTACTGTCTAGTATGTCTTGATATGTGTTGACCGCTGTCTTTGTTACGTTTTAGGATACAACCACGTCTGCCTTGTTGAGGAATACCCTGAGGAGAAATGGGACGACATGGTGGCAGTCATGCTGTCAGCTCCTTTTCACCTCTGCAAAAGGTTTATACCACTCATGAAGAAAAAGGGTAAGCCGATGCCGAGTTGTGATCAGGGATTAACAGTTAATTGGGCTACTGAGAAACCCACAAACGGAGAAAAAAGTGAAAATGTAAAAAAAAGAGAAAATGGTGATAGCTATTTTTTTATTATGCATCGCAGTGAGAAGTGTTTAAGAGCGCAAACACAACTGTCAATATTTTGGTCTTGGTTTTTCATTTTTTCACGCAAGGCTGGGGGCGCATCCTCATCACTTCCTCTGTACACGGTATGATATCGACAGCAGGGAAAGCAGTGTACAGTGCAGTTAAACATGGTGTTGTGGGATTGGCAAAGGTGAGATCTGTTATAAACTGTTATAAACTGAAAGTTAGAATAAAAAATAAAAAACGCTGCTGGAGTTTCCTTCGCGTCCTAACAACATGTATTTCTTGCAATAAAGCTAGAAGTTAAGTCACACTGGAAAGGCATGGTTTCCATGACCTAATATTGTTTTTTGCCCAACAGTTTTTGTAAACGTAGCTTATTTTCGTTGCAGGGTATTGCGCTTGAGGTAGTTGACTACGGCATCACTTGCAACACTTTATGTCCAGGATTCGTAGACACACCCGGTAAGAAATTACTGATGATTTTATGAGAAAAGTTGATAAGAATAAAAGTGCCCTGCATCGCAAAGATTGTCCTTTTTGATGAAAGAAAGCGATTGCGTAGCACTAAATACGATTAAGACTGGGTTCCCATACTTAGATCGATCTAACAGGATCGATCCATCAGGTTTGCGCTGCGTTGCTTTCAGCTTGAGCGGCTTAGATGTCTGGCACGCCTACTGAAGCTGCTAACGATAATTTATTAACCCCTAGCAGCTTCAGAAGGTATGACAGACATCTAAGCCGCTTTGGTTGATTGCAATTTAGCGAAAATCCCCTCAGAGATAGATCGATCCACAGTTAGTACAATAGGGTCTGGGAATGGTCCCTAAAAGACAGCAAGTGCACCTTACAAAAGGAACCATTAGCTTTTTAAGTGTTTTGGCGATCCTGTGTAACTACTTTAGTTTATAATTGTTCTGAGAGGATAAATTTTATAGACATTGGATAAGCTAATTTTTTTAATTACATTGATCACTGTTACAGTTTCTACATAGGCATTTTTAAAAGCCTCTTGCTACTCATTATATAGTACTCGTATTCCTTTATGTATGTAAGCCGTTAAGCATAAGAGCGTCTCTATTCTGTCTGAAAATCGAATATATCGGCTCTTCCACAGACCATGATGCTGAGGAAAATGTGAAATACTCACCTGTTCTGAGGTTGCCTGCTACACAGTGTTTATGTAAAGATGGCAGCACAGGTGAATGAACAGAGAGAGAGAGAGAGAGAGAGAGAGAGAGAGAGACCATTCACAAAGTATTGTGGATCTAGCTAATGGGCTCTCGCTGAATGCAATCACAATAACAGCCTAACACGCCTCCATTAGTAATATCGACAAAATTCATTGTGAACGGTGCCTTATATAGTAGCTGATGTTACTTGATTATTACAGCTTTCATTTTTTTCTAGTGACACAAAAACAGATAAAACAATTTGTACAGGACGAAGGAATTTCTCTTGAACAGGCCAAAGTAAGTTTTATTATTGCCAAGAATAGTTTGTTTGAAAAATATTATGCGACTTTTAAGGCGGAAGATTTTCTCCTGTGTAAGCAAGGCAACTTTTTAACGTTTCAATTTCTTGTCCTGCTATGCAAATTATGTAATACTTTTCAATCCAAAAACCGGATTCAGTGTTTGTAATGATGATGATAATACTTTATTCGAAATAAACTTACATTCAAAGCTTCTGGGTGAAAAGGAATAAATATGTGGAATAAATATTTGACCTTTACTTAAGAAATAAAGTATCAGGCAATGGCCTGATAATTAGTTTAGTGTCTTCCGCTTTCACTGCCTTAAATATTTCAACAAAACGCCTTTATTTCACCAGGTCGATTTTGTGTCAAAGCGACAACCGACAAAAACGTTCATAGAACCAGAACATGTAAGTTTCAAGATCTTTTTGTTACTCTTTATAATCAACATTATAAAACAGTTAACTGGAAACGTTTAACACGCTTGACTGCAAAATTGATAAGCGTTATCTGGGGAAAGCTTTAAATATTTATGTAGGGCCTGCATTTATTTTGACATGTTGCTCTTGTTGCATGGAAATATTGGTTTTTCTTTGCCTCAGCTAAAAATAAGCGTAATGTGAAATATGAGAACAGGCTTTCACATGAATTCTGATGTTTCGTGTTTTAGATTGCAGAGTACGTGGCCTTCATCTGTTCTCCCTATGCCGCACAAATCACGGGTTCCGCCATGCCAATAGAAGGGGGATGGCTGAGTAAGTGACGTCCCTGGTCACAAGAAGCACAATGAAGATTTAGCAGCATCGAACGCCATCATGAAAAAACTGTGGTGTAACTAATGGAAGATCAGCCCTACAACCACAATTAATACACATCAGTTGCTCTTTCGTAACATGTGAACTACTTATCTAAAAATAAACACTTTGCTCAATAATTATTTTGTGTAAATATATATATATATACACTTAAAATTTTGTTAAAATTGACGGTGATCTTCAGTTGCCCAAAATTGGCAAAGTGGAAAGCAAACTTCTCATTCAGGACATCGAGTCAATAAAAGAATCTTGTAGAAACACAATTTCTAGTTTCACTAACGTCCAAAATAGTTATCTCATAATATAATAACGTTGGAGGCATGGAAGTGCCTACTGGACTATCCATCAATTCATTTAAAATGTCTGTTCATTTCACATCTTTGCTGCCCAAGGATTGGACTTTACAAAATGTTCTGTTCCGCAGACCGTGAGATTCAAAACTTTTCAAAAATGGAAGTCTGTCGGACTGTTATAATGAGGGTTCCGCGGACCTTAAAATGGCGGGACTCTCTGTCACATCACATCGGGATGAGGATGAGAGCTGTGAGTCGTTAATAGGAGGCGCTGTGCGTCGTCACGTTCGTGCCCGCAACTGCAGCTTCTGTTTTACCACATACATACACTAACTGCTCAATTGAGACTGAAAAGGTTAACTACAACATAATGAGCGTTGAACGGCATTTGGACGGCAAGGTCGCGCTAGTGACTGGCTCCACCAGTGGGATTGGGCTTGCTATTGCCCACGGTTTGGCAAAGAGGGGCGCCAGCATCATCCTGACAGGCTTCGGTGACGAGGAGCTGATCAGTAAACTGAAGGAGGATTTTACCAGGTGATGTGTCGACTTCCGGTATAAGCATATGGCAAAATTAAAATGTTAAATCACGTTTACCAGTTTATCTTAATGCCCAGTAACTGAGGTCTAGATCTTACTTGAATAAAACAAATTTAATACTGCAAGAAGGCCTATATATTGCTTTCTAAATAGTGATGGCCTTTGGGATTTGGGTAGGTCTCCGGATAAAAGGCAACGAGTGAGCACTGGCTCATCATATCTAAGTAAAATCAGTAGACACTACAATCACCGAACCGACCGAACAGCTGACTGAAGCCGTCTGGCAGCTACTCTGACTCGACCGGTATTGTAACCCCCTACCAAAAAACTGTCTCCCTTAAAGCATTTATGTATATTGTTACCACAGTGATACCCATAGATTTAATTATTTTATTACACAATGTTCACACAACCAAATATCGAGCAAATAAAAGAAGCGAGAGGTAGTGCACTGTCCCAGCATGACCATCAAATTTCCCATTTATCTCTTGTATTTTATGTTGTCCATACAGGGAACACAGGAGGGAGTTTCGGTCCGCAGGTTTGCAAGAAGGTTGGGCTGTTTCATAAAAACCTTCAGAGGGTTAGGCAACGTCATAACCAAACAGGAACATGACTAGGATTTCCTGGTTCTGGTTCAGGCTGACTTACGGAGACCACTCGCTTACCACATCCAGAGAAGAGGGAATGCTGACACACTTGCTCGTAGCGAACGTTCCATAGCATAAAGGAACTTCACTGCAACATCAGACCAAAACATATAGGCAATCTTCTTACCACTCTGTAAGCAGGGTTTCGTTAGGAGAAAAATGATCACCGCCAGAAACCGTCTACGTCGAGTCAGATGATATACCAGAACTCTGGCATAGGCACCACCCAAAAAACTGGTGAATGGTACTGTTTCAAATGAGATTCAGTGTTGACATAAGTGATTAACACAAGGGTTTGGATAACTACCATGGCCCATACGAGCCTACGCGTGCGTCTTTTAGACGCCCCTTTACATGCGAAAACGACGAGGCCTATGCCGAGTTCGTCTTTTACTACAGAGCTTTGAGAGCCGAAAATGGCATGGCTGTGTCTCTTTCGCCACTTACTGAACTCCAGAGATGCGAGATTGACACGACCCATGTCGCGTTTGTCTCTCAAAAGACACTGTTATAAAACATGAAATAGGCATTACGTGTGATTTTCGCAGCTGAATAAGTAGACCCTTATAAACGAAGTTGACGTGACCTTAGAGTCATGTCGCTTTCAACTTTTACAAACCTCCAACAAAATCTATCTCCACACAGACGCGCGCGACATGTACTATTGGACATGGGTCAGTTGAAAGCGACATTAACCTAAATGGCTCATGTTACTTTCAGCCAATTAATTTGAAACAGAAGGACCGTCTTAAAACCCTTTATATTTGAATCCTTGAAAATAAAAATATGAGGCCATATAATTATTACAAGCAATTAGCCACACTGTTATCTAGATAGCACTAAATTATGATGGGATTCAAATGAAAAAAATGTTTTGGGACAGCACAACACTGTTTCAAATTAATTGGATTTGACATATAAGAGTTGGCTGAAAGTAACATGAGCCCTTTAGGTTAATAGGGTTTCAACTGACCCATGTCCAATAGTACATGTCGCGCGCGTCTGTGTGGAGATAGATTTTGTTGGAGGTTTGTAAGAGTTGAAAGCGACATGACTCTCAAGTTACGTCAACTTCGTTTATAAGGGTCTACTTATTCAGCTGCGAAAATCACACGTTATGCCTATTTCATGTTTTATAACAGTGTCATTTGAGAGACGAACGCGACATGGGTCGTGTCAATCTCGCATCTGTGGAGTTCAGTAAGTGGCGAAAGAGACACAGCCATGTCATTTTCGGCTCACAAAGCTCTGTAGTAAAAGACGAACTCGGCATAGGCCTTGTCGTTTTCGCATGTAAAGGGGCGTCTAAAAGACGCACGCGTAGGCTCCTATGGGCCATGGTAGATAACAGCTGAAGAGAAGCTGTCCGATTGCCTGTCTCTTGTTGACAACCACATATCAGTCATGGCATTTGCAAGCTGGTAGCGGTCAGCAGGGACGTTAACACAGAGCATAACATCCAAGCCCGGTGTAACGTGACAGATAGTCCCCCCCGAAATACAGTCCGCTTCCCATTCATTTGTACAGGAAAGCCGCACCCTAGATTTTGACCTTAAACCACAAAGAAGACTTGGCATATGGGAACCAGATCCAGACACCTCCCCCCTCTAATGGCCAGCACTATCCTTATATCAGAGCAACATTGAAAATGTGTCAGAAATACTCAGGAAAGGATTGGTATAAACAGAAATGTTCCCATACTGTCTTCCATATGTGGAACGTCGTCACCCCACAAACATTTAAGAATCTTCGTGACATCTTGCACTGTACAAAACACTAAGATGTGGCTTTGATATCTTTACTATGGTCATTTTAATCGTTGGTGGTACAAATCGTTAACTTTTGTGAAAAATCGTTCTAGAATGTTAAAAAATAAAGATTAGTTTATGACTTGTTTTTCTGTATCATTTTACTAATTGCAGTAGGGGTGACACTTTCTTTGGTAGGGGAGTATAAGATCGTCACTCTGCATGTCATGTGGAGATACGTGTATTTTTTCTTATGTAACGTGGCATGATAATTTCCCAACTTTTTTCTAATTTGTCGGATTTTATTATGGAAAGATCGGATAATCGTACAGAGTCTCGGATGTAGGAGGTGTGATAGACTAGTAGGCTACCTCTAGTATGGTGTAAGCCTCTTTCCTTTTTTTTTTTTGCCAAGTTAATTAACAGATCTAGGAAACAGCCAAGGGTGCCTAGAAACACGTTCTTCGCATCTACATCTGACTCTAGCCTACCCCTGTAAAGGTCCAACCATTGACAGTTAATTTATTTCTATTTCAAAGTGCCTATTAAAGTTATTACGTACGTCTTAAACATAAAAAGAAAACGTGCATGAATAATGTTTCAAGACTTTTTTGGTTTATCTCTTTTCAAATTCTGTTATTTCAGCAAATATAAGTGTCGAGTAGATTACATTGATGCAGACCTCAGTAAGGTTGCTGACATCAATGAGCTGTTCACCAGTGTCATCAAGTTATATCCAGAGGGCGTGGACGTTCTAATAAACAATGCAGGTACGCATGCGAAGACAGCTGAAGTCGCTGAAACGCTGGTGACTTGGGAATCGAAATGAAGTTGTCGAATCAATCATGTGATTTTTCTATTGTTGTGAATAGTTATGAAATTGTTTTAAAATTGATATAGATAAATGTGACATAAGTGCTTTGGTACTTATTTTGCCTTGCATTTCTGTTATTATCTTAATAACTGTATGCATGTCATACAAATATGATTATTATACATATTTGTTGCCCACTGTTTTGGTAATGTTTAAGGATACAACCACGTCTGCCTTGTTGAGGAATACCCTGAGGAGAAATGGGACGACATGGTGGCAGTCATGCTGTCAGCTCCTTTTCACCTGTGCAAAAGGTTTATACCACTCATGAAGAGAAAGGGTAAGCCGATGCTGAGTTGTGATCAGAGCTTAACGTTGAATAAACAATTAATTTGGCGACGAAGAAACCGACAATTAGAAAGAAAATGGGAAAAGGAGGAAATTGTGATATTCTATTTTTTGTCAGGCCCTTCTTTCTCAATGCATTGCAGTGAGATGCACTTAAGAACGAAAACACGCCCGTCAATATTTTGATCTTAGTTTTTCCTTTCTTTTCCATTCTTTTTCACGCAAGGCTGGGGGCGCATCCTCATCACTTCCTCTGTACACGGTATGATATCGACAGCAGGGAAAGCAGTGTACAGTGCAGTTAAACATGGTGTTGTGGGATTGGCAAAGGTGAGATCTGTTATAAACTGAAATTAGAATAAAAACGCTGCTGGAGTTTCCTTCGTCGTCCTAACAACATGCATTTCTTGCAGTATAGCTAGAAGTTAAGTCACACTGGAAAGACATGGTTTCCAAGACCTAATGTAGTTAAATAAAATACACCTAATGGATGAAAAACAAATACACAGCCTTGAAATCAGCCAACTGTAAATTTGCCATACTGTTACCAATCCCACATTGTCTTGGGGCGTATTCCCATAGATTTTAGATCGATCTAAATCACTAGATTAATGTCAGATAATCCGGCTTAAATGTCCGTCCCGCCTACTACAAGCTGTAAGGGGGTAATAAACTTTCGTGCCCGCTTGGCTGACAGCTCTTTAGCGTGAACCCCCAGGGAGTTAGGTCGATCTAGTTGGATCGATGTAATCTCTTGGAATGGGGTCTTGGACTGCGTTCAGATAGACTTAACAACAACGGTATAATTGCAGGGAGTGAACAATTCTTCCACCATTGTATTTTGCCAAACAGTTTAACTGTAAACGTAGTTCATTTTCGTTATTACAGGGTATTGCGCTTGAGGTAGTTGACTACGGCATCACTTGCAACACTTTATGTCCAGGATTTGTAGACACACCCGGTAAGAAATTACTGATGATTTATAAGAAAAGTTGATAAGAATAGTAGTGCCCTGCAACGCAAAGATTGTCCTTTTTGATGAAAGAAAGCAATTGCGTAGCACTAAATAGGATTGCGACTGGGTTCCCATACTTAGATCAATCTAACAGGATCGATCCATCTCCGAGGGGGTTTGCACTGCGTTGATTTCAGCTTGAGCGGCTTAGATGTCTGGCACGCCTACTGAAGCTGCTAAACGATAATTTATTAACCCCTAGCAGCTTCAGAAGGTGTGACAGACATCTAAGCCGCTTAGGTTGATTGCAATTTAGCGAAAATCCCCTCAAAGATAGATCGATCCACAGTTAGTACAAAGGGGTCTGGGAATGGTCCCACATTAAGTTCACCTTACAAAAGGAACCATTGGAATTTTAAGTGTTTTGGTGATCATGTGGAACTACTTTAATTTATAATTGTTCCGAGGGATACATTTTATAAACATTGGATAAGCTAAATTTTTTTAATTACATTGATCACTGCTACAGTTTCTACATACGCATTTTTAAAAGCCTCTTGCTACTCGTTATATAGTACTCGTATTCCGTTATGGATGTAAGCCGTTAAGCAGAAGAACGTCACTATTCTGTCTGAAAATGGAATATATCGGCTTTTTTCACATACCATGATACTGAGGAATATAGAAATGATCACCAGTTCTGAGGTTGCATGCTAAACAGTGTTTATGTAAAGATGGCAGCACAGGTGAATGAACAGGGAGAGAGAGAGGGGGGGGGGGCGAAAAACTTAGAGACCATTCACAAATTGTTTTGTGTATCTAGCCAATTGGCTCTCGCTGTATGCAATCAGAATAACAGCCTAACACGCCTCCATTAGTAATGTCGACAAAATTCATCGTGAACTGTGCCTTTTAAGGTAGCTGATGTTAAATGATTATTACGGCTTTCATTTTTTCTAGTGACACAAAAACAGATAAAACAATTTGTACAGGACGAAGGGATTTCTCTTGAACAGGCCAAAGTAAGTTTCATTATTGCCAAGAATAGTTTGTTTGAAAAATATTATGCGATTTTAAGGGGGAAGATTTTTCCTGTGCAACTTTCTAACTTTTCAATTTCTTATGCAGCTATGCAAATTATGTCATACTTTTCAATCCAAAACCGGATACAGTGTTTGTAATGGTGATGATAATGCTTTATTCGAAATAAACTTAATTCATATCTACTGTATGAAAAGGAATATTTGAACTTTACTTCAGAAATAAACTACCTTCCGCTTTTATTGCCTAAAACAGTTCAACAAAACACCTTTATTTCACCAGGTCGATTTGGTGTCAAAGCGACAACCGACGAAAACGTTCATAGAACCAGAGCATGTAAGTTTCTAGCACGAAAATTCATGCGTTAGCACTCCTACTGGCTGTTGGTATATATCAGAACCGTCAATTGGAGTGCTAACGCATGAATTTTCGTGCTAGTAAGCTTCAAGACCTTTTTGTTACCCTTTATAATCAAAATTATAAAACGGTTAACTGGAAACGTTGAACGCGTGTTTGACTGCAAAATATTGGCTTTTCTTTACCTCAGCTAAAAATAAGCATAATGTTTTATAGCTTAACTGTGAAATATGAGAACAGCCTTTCTTATGGATTCTGATGTTTCATGTTTAAGATTGCAGAGTACGTGGCCTTCATTTGTTCTCCCTATGCCGCACAAATCACGGGTTCCGCCATGCCAATAGAAGGGGGATGGCTGAGTAAGTGACGTCCCTGGTCACAAGAAGCACACTGAAGATTTAGCAGCATCGAACGCCATCATGAAAGAACTGTGGTGTAACTAATAGAAGATCAGCCCTACAACCACAATTAATACACATCGCGGTTGCTCCTTCGAGTCATGTGAACTACTTTTTATCTAAAAATAAACACTTTGCTCAATAAATATTTTGTGTAAATATATATATATATTTAAAATTCTGTTAAAATTGACGGTGATCTTCAGTTGCAAAAAATTGGCAAAGTGGAAAGCAAACTTCTCATTCGGGACATCGAATCAATAAATGAATCTTGTAGAAAACACAATTTCTATCTTCACTAACGCATCCAAAATAAATATCTTATAATATAATGACGTAGGTTGGAGGCATGGAAGTGCCTACTGGACTCTCCATCAATTTAATTAAAATATCTGTTCATTTGACATCTTTGCAGCCCAAGGATTGTACGTTGCAAAATGTTCTGTTCCGCAGACCGTGAAATTCAAAAATGGCAGTCCGTCGGACTGAGTTTTAAAAATGAGGGTTCCGCGGACCTTAAAATGGCGGGACTCTCTGTCACATCACAGAGCTGTGTGCGACGGCACGTTCGTGCCCGCAGCTGCTGGTTCTGTTATACCACATACATACACCTGCTCACTGGAGACTGAAAAGGTTAACTAATGAGCGTTGAACGGCACTTGGACGGCAAAGTCGCGCTAGTGACTGGCTCCACCAGTGGGATTGGGCTTGCCATTGCCCACGTTTTGGCAAAGAGGGGCGCCAGCATCATCCTGACAGGCTTCGGTGACGAGCAACTGACCAGTAAACTGAAGGAGGATTTCACCAGGTGATGTGTCGATTTCCGGTATAAGCATATGGCAAAATTAAATTGTTAAAACACGTTTTACCTGTTTGTCTTAATGTCCAGTTTAACTGAGGTCTTCCCTGGGTAAAACAAATATAATGCTGCAAAAAGGCCTATATTGCTTTCTAAACAGTGATGGCCTTTGGGATTTGGGTATGTCTCCGGATAAAAGGCAACGAGTGAGCACTGGCTCATCATATCAAAGTAAAATCCCCTACCAAAAAACTGTCTCCCCTAAAGCATTTATGCAAATTGCTAGCACAGTGCTACCCATAGATTTAATTATCTTATTACACAATCTTCACACAACTAAATATCGAGCAAATAAGAGAAGCGAGAGGTAGTGCACTGTCCCAGCATGACCATCAAAAGTCCCATTATCTCTTATATTTTATGTTGTCCATACAGTGGACACAGGAGGGAGTTTCGGTCCGCAGGTTTGCAAGAAGGTTGGGTTGTTTCATAAAAATCTTCAGAGGGTTAGACAACGTCATAACCAAACAGGAACATGACTAGGATTTCCTGGCTCTGGTTCAGTCCGACTCTTCCAGAGAAGAGGGAATGCTAACACGCCTTGCGCGTAGCGAACGTTCCATGGCATAAAGAAACTGCAACATCAGACCGAAATATATAGGCAATCTTCGTTTCTGATCTTACCACTATGTAAGCAGGGTTTCCGTTTGGAGAACAATGATCACCACCAGGAACCGTCTACGTCGAGTCAGCTGGTATACCAGAACTCTGGCATAGGCACCACCCAAAAACTGGTGACTGGCACTGTTTCAAATGAGATTCATGGTTGACAGAAGTGATTGACAGCCAAGGGTTTGGATAACAGCTGAGGAGAAGCTGTCCGATTGTCCGTCTCTTTGTTGACAACCACATATCAGTCATGGTATGTGGACGTTTTGTCTACCATGGCATTTGCAAGCTGGTAGCGGTCAGCAGGAACGTTAACACAGAGCATAACATCCAAGCCCAGTGTTACGTGACAGAGAGTCCCCCATGATAGGTAGTCCGCTTCCCATTCATTTGTACAGGAAAGCCGCAGCCTAGATTTTGACCCACTTAATTAGGTCAGGCTAACCCTAACCATTGTAACTATATGGAGGGCGGACTTTCAGTTACAAGGACCCTCAGTTTCGTTACATCGGGAAAGGAACTTAGGGCATTCTGTTCTATCGAGAAAATTTTGGGGACCGTGCCCACCCAGTTGTGTGTCACCATGATTAGGTTACACCACATGCGAACCAGATCCAGACCCCACCTTCTAATGGCCAGCGCAACTTCCAAATGTGTCAGAAATACTCAGAAAAGGATTGCTGAGGGTTAAACCTACAGACAGAAATGTTCTTATCCTGACTTTGTGTCGTATGTGGAACGTCGTCACCCTGCAAACATTTAAGAATCTTCCTGGCATCTTGCACGTGTCAGGTGCGTTCTTCAATCAACAGAATGCTGTGCAAAGCACTAAGATGTGACTTTGACATTTTTACTGTGGTCATTTTAATCATTGGTGGTCCAACACCTTAACTTTTGTCAAAAATCGTTCTAGAAGTTGAATAAAAAAATATTAGTCTATGTCTTTTTTCTGTATCCTTTTACTCATTGCAGTAGTGGTGACACTTTCTTTGGTAGGGGAGTATAAGATCGTCACTATGCATGTCATGTGGAGATACGTGTGTTTATTCTTATGTAACGTGGCATGATAATTTCACAGCTGTTTTGTAATTTGTAAGATTTGATAATGGAAAGATCGGATAATCGTCAAGTTTCGGATTTAGGCCTGTTTCAGTTTCAAGACTATTTTTGGTTAATCTTTATTTTAATTCTGTTATTTTAGCAAATATAAGTGTCGAGTTGATTACATTGCGGCAGACCTCAATAAGGTTGCAGACATCAATGAGCTGTTCACCAGTGTCATCAAGTTATATCCAGAGGGCGTGGACGTTCTAATTAATAATGCAGGTGCGCATACAAAGACAGCTGAAATGGCTGACACTCTGCACGGTGGCTTTGGAAACGAAATGAGATTTATTTTTTACGTTGTACATGTCAAATATTTTAGTCGTGTGATTTTCTCAATTGTTGTCAATAGTTATGATATGGTTTTAAAACTGTTTTAGATGAATGTGAAGTGAAATGACTTTTGATGCTTTCTCCTATTTGTTTCTGTTATTATCTTTTAAGGTTAAAATAGCTATATGCACATATTTATTTATTTATCTATTTATTCATTTATGTTGATCACTATTTTGGTTACGTTTTAGGATACAATCACGTCTGCCTTGTTGAGGAATACCCTGAGGAGAAATGGGACGACATGGTGGCAGTCATGCTGTCAGCTCCTTTTCACCTCTGCAAAAGGTTTATACCACTCATGAAGAAAAAGGGTAAGCTATGCTGATTTGTGATCAGGGATAACCGGTTTAATATACCACGAAAATGGCAAACGGAGAAAGAAAAATGGAAAAAGGTAAAAATTGTAAAACATTATTTAGTACCAGTCATTTTCTGTCTTTATTCGCTATGCAATACAGTGAGAAGTGTTTTAGGATTATTTTGGTCATGGTTTTCTTTTTTTTTTTCACGCAAGGCTGGGGGCGCATCGTCATCACTTCTTCTGTGCACGGTATGATATCGACAGCAGGGAAAGCAGTGTACAGCGCAGTTAAACATGGCGTTGTGGGATTGGCAAAGGTGAGATCTGTTATTAACTGTTATAAACTGAAAATTAGAATAAAAACACTGTTTCTTCTGTCGTCTTAACTTAATGCATTTATTGCAGTGTGGCCAGTAGTTAAGTAACACCGAAAGGGAATGCTCTCGATGATCTAGTGTAGATATATATATGTTACACCTATTGGATGAATAATACAAATATTTTGCCTTGAAATAAGCCTTTAAAGATTTATATCATTATTATGTGTCTTGAGAAACCCCCGTCGCTTACTTTACGGACTGGGCGATGATGCGCTAGTGATTGATAATTTCACAGCAAATGGCTGTTAACGGGCGTCTACCTGCTAACAAGAATTACCTTTAAAAATCCTTACGCACGCTTCTTAGTTAGGCTATTAGTTGTATTTTTCCAAACAGTTGGTTTAACGGTGGTTTAATTTTACTTCAGGGTATTGCGCTGGAGGTTGTTGAATACGGCATCACATGTAATACTATATGTCCAGGGTTTGTAGAAACAGCTGGTAAGAAACAACAGATGGGTAAAAAAAAAAAAAAAAAAAAAAAAAAAACTTTCGTAAATGATAAGAATAGTTAGTGTTTTATTACGCGAAGATCGTTCTTTACTGCCTTTTTGGCGAAAGAAAGTGATTTAATGTAGCACTAGATACGTTTCGACCAGAATATACAACATACAAGAAGAACCAGCGGCATTAAGTTTGTGAAATTGTTTTTGAGATGTTAGAAAGTACAAACTATCACTGGGTAACGAGATTAATGTCGAAATTACATCGATAGCCGTTGCAGTTTATACAGAACAGTCTCAACATTTTGAAACCCCCGTATGAACCCCTTTATAGTGCTCATACCCCGTTAGTAGCTGATGTTAAATGATATTTACAGCATTCCATTTATTCTAGTGACACAAACACAGATAGCACAGCTTGCAAAGGACAACGGAATTTCTTATGAGCAGGCCAAAGTAAGTTTCATTCCAGGATTGTTTTTTTAACACGACACAAAAAGGGAAAATTATAGAATTTTAAAAGCATTGGATCACTTCAGTTTCTCATAAGGCCGTGAAAATCATTTAATGCTTTTCAATCAAAAACCACATACAGTGTATGGTATGATATTACGTAGATACAATCAGGACACCCATAGTTTTTATAGTTTCAATTATTGGAAATTAACATAAAGAGTCAAAACTTCCGAGTGAAAAGTAATATTGTGGATTATTATTTGACCTCCAGAAAGAAGGTATCAGGAAATGACTAGATACCATTTGTCTTCCGCCTTCCTTTGTTTAAAAACAATTCAACAAGACACCTTTATTTCAACAGGTCGATTTTGTATTAAAGCGACAACCGACGAAAAAGTCTATAGAACCAGAGCATGCAAGTTACATGGTCTTTTTGTTATCTTTTTAATCAACAATAAGTATGACTGACTGAAAAGTTTGATAAACGTTACCTGGAAGAAAACGTAGAGCATTCCTTTAGACTTAATGCGCTTTTTGCATTGAAATACATGCCATCTTTACTCAGCTTAAAAAATAATCATGACACATGAGAGCTAAACTGTAAAATATAAGTTAAACATTGTGCTTTCACGTGGATTCCATGTTTTTTTTATTTCAGATTGCGGAGTACGTGGCATTCATTTGTTCCCCGTATGCCGCACAAATTACGGGTTCCGCCATGCCAATAGAAGGGGGATGGCTTAGTAAGTGACGACCCTGTCCGCATTGAAGTGCTTTGATCACTTTTCTAACCGAGCTATATATGAAATTGTCTCTAAATTTCTACCTGTGAGTTTTTGTACTCAATATTTTCAGTGCAAAGACAACAAAAATTGATAAATAAAGATTTATTTGAATTGCTTGCATGAAAAAAATCCAAGTGCAAGTAACAGCCAAAGGAGCTAAATGCAAGATTTAAGTCTATTCATGTACATTCCGGTTTCTTAAATATCGTTATACTGGTAACAAAGATGACATGCATTGACCAGAACTAAAGAAATATATTGGAATACTGGCGCAATGTAGCTTCCATTCAAATTATGTATGTGCAACAAATTGTTACCTTTTTTTCTCTTGGTAATCACAACACCCAATATTAACTTTATTAATATACAATTTTTCCAAAATAAAAGGTAACCAAACCAACTTCATTACTTCAAGTGATTTAACGAACACCTACCTGTACATGACAACTATTTACAAAATGCTAAGTCCTCGCAATGATTACTATTCATATGTAAACTATGAACCCACAACTATTAATATACTTATGCACTGCTTTCATTCATATAATTTGGTTTGATCAGGTGATCTTTAAACTAATCACAATAACGAAGTCCATCCCAATGTAGTCCGGAAGGAGGTTATGAGACTTTGTGAAAAACATGCCACATTCAATAAGATGCCAGACGACTATTCCAGCCCATGTGTCGAGTCATCGATGTTAAATTTATGACAAAATATACATACTACTTCCACCTCCAGACTTCTCAGGGCAACACTTATTTCTTTCCTGTTACAACTGGTGTTTCTGCACAAAATTAAATAATAAATCAGTTTTATGCATTGTTTAACTTTTAAAATGCCTTTGCGTTATGTCAATATGTGGTCTGCTAAGAATAATGCTCCTCGTGTTGGTTTAATTCTTGTCCTCTTTCTTATCTTCACTTTGTTCTTGAGAGGATTCTGAACTGGACTGGTCTTGCTGGGCATTCTCACTCATCTGCCATGAAAATGTGTCAAGTTAATATGACAGAACCAAGCCTGTTATTACATACAGATCTTTCATACAAATACTATTACTTCTTACAAACAATAAGTGAATATTAATATCAGTTACTCACATGGTATTACTTATATAACTTGTATTGTTATAGTCCCATATATCACGTGCTAGTGCCATAAAAAGACATACAAATGGTAGTAAATGTACTTGATAACTAAAAAATAGAAGAATTATTCAAACATTTACCTTCTTATTATAAGCAGCCTCAAAGGCCTTCAAAGACTTCTGCTGTAGATCAGAATACTTCTGACGAATGGTTTCTGGAGTTTCATTATCTTTGTTGGCTATGACCTGGCGCACATCTGCAATGGCCTCCTTCAGCTTGTCGTACTAAAATTCCAAAGACCACAGTTTTAGTTACACGTTCAGAACAAGGAAGTTTATCTTATCACAATGGCAATTAAAAGATACATTGCTGACCTTCATAACATTCTTGATCTAAGACCATAATTTTTCATCTGTACAGATTAGACTCTTCCCAACAGATGGAAGTTTCTTCTTGATTAATCTCAATATAAGGATTATCCTGCAGAGTCTGCTCAGTACACAATGGTCAGCCTGTTCACCTTCACCTGCGTGAGATGGCTCAGATGACGAAAAATTTACACATCATGGCAGACAGTACTATTGTGTGACAAAGAGGCCATAAATTTATTAAGGAGTAAATATGAAGCACATTAAAAATAGTGTCAAAAATCAAATATCTTGTACACCAAATAGTGCACTACAATTAAATATGACAAAAATGTGACTGCAAAAAAATTTCATACCTCTTCAGTTGGTAGTTGATCTTTGAACTCGTCCATCTTGCTTTCTGTGTCATGTGCTATGGACTCTGCGTGATTGATGGCTTCCACGATTTCCTAAAAATAGGAAAACATCGAATGGTTTAATCCTAATGCAGTTTTTCGAGAACAATATATACCAAAACGTGTGTCACAACCATCTAGGTTTGATCTTAAAGAGTGTGAGGGGACAAATTTTCTTGTACTGCCTGACAAAAAAAAAAATGCTTGGACACTATGGTGGAACTTCCCAATAAGTTTTCTGACAATTCTTGTAGTTTTAATAGTTAATGCTTTATAAACTAATGTAGCATTCTCTTACCTTTCTCTTTGTATCCTCTTCGGCATATTTCTCAGCATTCTTAACCATGTTCTCAATTTCATCTTTACTAAGACCACCCGAAGACTGGATTACAACTGGGAAAATAAATCAAGACTCGTTACACATAAAACCAACAAACAGACACTTGCTGGTCACAAATCCTTCATGCCACCAGCAAATTCTGGAAAGTCATTATTCAACTTTTTTAAATGTTCACAAATATTTGGTACTTAGCACAAGATTACTCAAAATGGCTTCTATAAGCCTTAAACCACTCCTTTTCCTCATCCACCACTTACTCTGTTGTTCTCTGCCAGTTCCTTTGTCTTTAGCTGATACGTTCACAATGCCATTAGCATCAATGTCAAAGGTCACCTCAATCTGTGGAACTCCGCGAGGGGCCGGAGGGATACCAACCTAAAACGGGCATCAATCAGCATTTACACTATGCACAGACCAGGGCAGACAACATTTACACATTTCACTTAGTTGGGTCCAACAACACCATCTGAATCAAGGGATACCTCAAAATTTAACTTAGAGTCAGTGGGAAAAGGATTTAAGCTATGTCCTTTTTTTTTTAAATATCAGTTTTGATGTCCATGAATAATGGTCTTAGCAAAGATCCTTTTATCTTACCAGCATAAATTGTCCTAGTAATTTGTTGTTTGCAGCCATTTCGCGCTCACCCTGGTAAACTTTGATGTCAACTTGAGTCTGGCCATCTGCAGCTGTAGAGAAAACCTGAGGGGAAAAGACACAAGCTTTTGTAGGCAATCTATACCACACTTAAAAACATACCAAGGACCTAAACTACAGAGAACAAAGTAAAACACTGACAAAATATTTGTTATGAATTGGTACTATGAAATACAGATTCAATGACCATGCTATTCTTTATTCGTTCGTCTGAAAACAGAGGTGAAATGAAGTTCACTGTTGGCATTTTCCTCCTCTGTTACTGCATATAGCCTTCAACATGATTCAATGTCAAGTAATTCTTTAGTTGTGATTTCTTTGTAGGAGTGGTATTATTCCTGGTAATAACTTTAAGTGAGACACCTCCAAGGGTAAACAGCACAGCCATCAACAAATATTCAGTTTCATGTGATTCTTTACCTGTGATTTCTTGGTGGGAATGGTAGTATTCCTGGTAATGAGTTTGGTGAACACGCCTCCCAGAGTTTCAATACCAAGTGACAGTGGTGTGACGTCCAGCAGCAAGACATCTGTCACGTCTCCAGCTAATACGCCTCCCTGGTGATAGGATAAACAAGTATGTTACGTATATATAGTCCCTTTGATGAGACAAACAGATTGTCAAAAGTTAATTTTTCAAGGACTGTTCTCAGACAAAGTTTCGGTGAGTGTCACAGCTGTCCACATCTGCTCTGCACATTGAGAGTGGTGCAAGGACAAATCTTCATTGAACAAGATGACATGAATGGATCTCTTGCATTTCTATTTAATTTTCTACAGTTTCGCCAAACAGACTACCAACAAGACAAGAATTTCCCATCCTCACAAACACAGATTTACAAAAGCAAAATTTGAGCTTTACTCACCTGAATGGCAGCTCCTATGGCTACAGCTTCATCTGGGTTGACAGACTTGCTGGGCACACGGCCAAACAGCTCCTGCACCGTTGTCTGAACCTGTGAACAAAAGACAGATTTATACAATTAAGTCATTTAATTAACAGCCCCCTACACACAGATAAATTTCTTAGTGTAATGGTCACTGTGGCACTTCAATTGGAATTTTATCTTTTGTTGTCATTGATTAATTTAAATCTTTACCTCCCAACAGATGAAATTATGAATCAATTGTTGAAAGAATAGTACTGTCTGTCAAAATGTTGTAGACAATTTGAGGATTAGCATAAACACTGACACTCAAATACAACTATGTACAATTTCCTGTTCCAAAGCATTGGCCCTGCAAGCTATGATATCAAACAAGCAGGAATTTGACTGGCTTTGGTTGAAATGAAAAATTTCTGGCATTTTGAAAAATTTCAATAGCAAAATTTGGGTTTCATTTAACTGGATCCACTCTAAAGACTTTTTAAAAATGCAAACAAGTTTGCTGAAATTCTTGTCGGCCTTTGTTAAGACCAGTTTCCAACTATAGCTGTTAGGTTATACGACCTCTGAGTTTTAATATCTACCTGGCCTGATGTGGCATATCCTGGAATTTCTATTCCAGACAACTATTTCACAAAAAGATAATTTTAACACACACCTTGGGCATCCTGGTCATTCCTCCAACCAACAGCACTTCACCAATGTCACTCTTCTTGCAGTCCGCGTCCTGCAAAGCCTTCTGACTGGGTCCAACAGTCTTCTTGACCAGGTCATCCACCAACTGCTCCAGCTTGGAGCGGGTCAGCTTCAGGTTCATGTGTTTAGGTCCGCTGGCATCCATGGTTAGATAAGGCAGGTTAATGTCAGTCTGGAACACAACCAGGTGTAGTTTAATATACATAAATTTGTTTATATTGAAGCCAATTACCAGTGAAATGATAACCTAGATGTTAACATGAAAGCAATCACAATTTATACAAAAGTGTATCCTGAATGGTAAACCATGTCCATCAATATTAACAATGTACAAATAGAAGGGTATCTTTTACCTGCAATGACGAGGACAATTCAACCTTGGCTTTCTCTGCTGCTTCCCTAAGTCTCTGTAGGGCCATTACATCCTTGGTCAGATCAATGCCTTGCTGTTGTAAGGAAAAGTTTTAAAAATTAGGTCCTTAACCCGTCTCCTAATGGTGATGTGACATTGCCCTTTCCCTAATAAGTTTTAATAGCCTTGTTCAGACAAGACATCTCAACAGAACCATACTGCAGAACTGCTGTCAAGAAAATTAGTTCATAATGCAAATATTTGTTCATTGCAAATGGATTGGACACAATCATAAGGATTTAATTGCAATTTCAGACATTTTATATATATATATATATGCTTTTTACCATTCCAGTTTTTGCGAGAAATTTAAGTGCTTGAACCTTCAACACAGTACAGACACCTACCTCTTTCTTGAATTCTGCTACCAAATATTTGAGCAGGGTGTTGTCAAAGTCTTCTCCTCCCAAATGTGTGTCTCCATTTGTTGACTTCACTTCAAACACTCCCTTCTGGATCTCCAACACGGAGATATCAAAGGTCCCGCCACCAAGATCATACACTGCAATGCTGTAAAATAGGGATAAGAACAACATGATTATTACTGTTAAAAAATCTAACTGTTACATGGCAAAGAAAGTAAAGTTATTTTGATACTCTCAGATCTTATTCGGTGAGTGTCACTACTGTCTTCAAGAGCACATTAAGAGTGGTGCAAGGACAAATCATCACGGAGATCATACTGAATAATTATTTCTGTTATAACTTATTGATCAGTGCCCAATTATAAGCATCTTGGGGAAAGTAGCATGTAAAAAGCTGACCCATGCAGAGAAGGATTAATATTTTTAAAAATGGAAAATGAACAAATATCAGAGATCAGACTGAAGATAACAATAAAGANCCTTAAAATGTGTTTACAGGGTTGCATATATGCTGAAAAGTGAAAAAACAGCATAACTTCTACAATAATGGCCCGATCATGCTGGTTTTCGAACTTGACCTGCGTTTTATGAATATTCATCAGCTCTGTAAATATAAAGCCAAAAAGTAAAACTGCCCTCCACTTATCGTGTTTACAAGGAAAGTGCACGGCGCCGGCATCGGCATCGGCGACGGCGACGACAGACGCAGGTGATGGCAATATGTACAGACACATCTGTGTCTGTACATAAAAATTTCTTGAAATGACAGATGCATAAATTTTTTATATGTACTTCATCCAATTGTTTTTAACATTCTTCTTTGACATAAAAGGAGAGCAATACACTCACATTTTGTCATCAGTTTTGTCAAGGCCATAGGCCAGAGCAGCAGCAGTTGGTTCATTGATCACTCTCAGCACATCAAGTCCTGCAATCTGTCCTGCATCTTTTGTTGCCTAGAAAACAACATTAAATGTTAAAAACATGAAATTTAAGTTATTTTTGTTTTATGTTGAAATTTAAGTCATTTTCACTTAATGTAATTGGTTTAAATTCAAAAGAAATATCGCAGAAGCCTGCATGGTACTCTCAGATTTTATTTGGTGAGTGTCACTTATGTCCACACTTGCGTCAGAACACATTGAGAGTGGTGCAAGGACAAATCATCATAGAGATTAACATGTACTGTAGGGAGTTAGTGCTTTTCTCCCTCCGATGTAATGATTGTTTATCATGCCCACATATATAACATTACCTGTCTCTGTGAATCGTTGAAATAGGCTGGAACAGTTACAACAGCATTTTTCACCTTCTGACCCAGGTAATTCTCTAGAAAAAAAGTTTAAGGGATGTAAAATTATTCTTTTCTACTACCTTTTAAAATGAAATGAATGAAATGTTTGGTGCTACTGAGATCGGCACTATCTGAGAATAAACCCCTTTAAGTTTAACTTAAAACTGTTGAACTAGGCACAATTATGTTAATTTTCCTTTCAGCTCCGTTGGGTTGATATCCAAGATATCCTTTTACACTGCTGTAACGACAGTATTACTTCTTACCTGCAGTTTCCTTCATCTTTATGAGAACAAATGCCCCAATCTGGCTTGGAGAGTACATTTTGCCATTGGACTCTAACCATGCATCACCATTTGATGATCGAACAATTTTGAAGGGCATTGCATCTCTAAAATGATAATTGTACCTTTCTATCGTTTTTATCAAGTGAATGAGATAATGATTACTCAGGACATTATGTTCTATTCAGAGATAACAATTGTGTTAACTCACACATTGTATGCTTTATCAAAATTGGTCTTGTAATATTTTCTTATGTATCAGACAAAGAATTTAAATGAATTTTGGGAAGAACATTTTAAAAAACTTGTAAGAAACCCACTCACATGTCTTTCTGCACCTCTTTATCTTCAAATCTTCTACCAATTAACCTTTTAGTGGCATAAAAAGTGTTCTGGGCATTGGTGACAGCCTGACGTCTAGCGGGCATGCCAACAAGTCTTTCCCCTTCTTTTGTAAAGGCAACTACAGATGGGGTGGTCCTTGCACCTTCAGAATTCTCCAGCACCTTAGCCTGCTTGCCTTCCATGATGGACACACAGGAATTGGTGGTGCCCAAGTCAATGCCAATGACATGACCTTTGACCTTGTCAGACCTAAAAAGAATCATGTAGTTTCCTATGTAAGCCTTAAAGAAACATAGGCCAGCTTTAAGGCATATAAATTCATATCAGAAAGCTTTGTAACATTCAAATAACTGATCCTCCTATATAAGCTTCTTTCATAAGCTTATAATTCTGTAGCAAGGAAATACTGAGCCAAGCTTTTAAAGATTATTATTCACAGTGAGGATTTAGTTCACAGCAAGATAAGACCTTTTGTGACTGGCAAGCCGCAGAACATTAATTTTTAAAACTGTTCTCCACACTTATCATCTTTCACTTATATCATACATTTTTTTTCTTCAACTAAACATTCACTTATATGCAAAAAAATGTCCTTATACCATTAAAAAGGAAATGAAGAACAGATAAATCTCAAATTGCTTCCACATCAACTTGAAGTGGTATCAAAAGAATGAAGGGAAAATCAATACAGGGACATACTGCAGAAAACAATGGATTATCTTTCCTTGAATGCCAAATGTCAACTCCTACATTCATTAAAAAGGAGGTTTCCAATTTTTTAAAATTAACTATTTTGAATAGCATTTGTTATCATGTCATTATTATGAGCATCAATGAGTAATCAGGAACTTTAAAAATTAAATATTTTAAAACTAATCAAGATTACATCTTATTAAAACAACTTGGAACACCGTATGCAGATGATGCAATTATACTGACACTTACATGTATCTTTTCTGCACTGGGTCATTTCTATTTCTGCTGCAAGCTGCAGGTATATGCTATTTAAAAGGAAAAATCAAAATTTAGAGGTTTGGAAAACGATTGGTTACATCTTGGAGATGGAATATCTGTCTGTTAACAAGACAAATGATGTGGTCTGATTAAAAGCCACAAATTCAATGTATCAAATGTTCACATATGGATAATTAAATAAAATAATGAAAAAAATACATACATACATCAGAACTGTATATCAGGTTACTATTAATTTGTTAAAATTGATTGAAAAATCTACGATTAAACTGATCCTATTTTCAAAAGGTGTTGCATAAATCATGATTACATAAATTACAAAAAATAAAATAACATGCGAGTTATGTCAATACTAACACTACCAGTTAAAATTTCCATTATCAAGGACAAAAAAAAAAAAAAAAAAACAAGATGATATAACAAAACTAATGAAATGACCAAAATTTAACCTGGGTTGACTTCTTTACTGTCTCTGACCTTCAAACATAAGCACTTAACACGTTTTTGAAATCGCAAAGGTCTATCAATTTCAAATAAATTCCGACAAAAAAAGTTTCATAAGATAAGCTAATGAATTTATTTTACTTATTTTCAAATCTTGAAAAATCCTTAGTGTAATCAGAGACCATGTGCGCATTCAAATGGCGAATGCCATTTTTCTGGGACACATGCTAATGGAGTGATGAAATAAAAACTCAACATTCAACCCTACCTTATTGATGTTTGTTAGCGTTCTGGAAGGTATCTGGTTAACTCCATTTTTCAAACTTTGTACTGTTATTCGAGATGCAGTCAACATGGTGAGATTATTACTACTTTTCTTAAACTAAGATATCTCCCTGCGGTGCGTACTCGCACGTGTGGATATATAACCTATGCCGGGGTACTGCGCATGTCAGTGAAAAGGAAATATCTCACCGGCGAATGGAAAATTCTAGATAGAAACTGTGGTCATGTATCAGCTGGCAATAAAAAGTCACCTTTAAGATGAAAATGTTTTGGAGTGTATTAAAATGAAAATCCTGATTCTGAGAAATATTCGAAAGATATCTCTGAAAATACCTAGGGATATTTCAAAGTAAAACATTACTGGTTCATCCAAGACAAGACTCCTTAGAAACTAAAAAGGAGTTTATAACGTTATATATTTCTGTTAAAGAAAAGGCGACTAAGCGGGAAGACAAGATCAATCTGACCACTCAAATTTAAATTTATGAAAAGACAATTTGAAAAGTTATGAATGTCAAAATAAGTTTCATGGAGTATTTTCGAACAAAAAAAAAAAAAAAAAAAAAAAAACTCTGTGTGTCAGGATGGGAACTAGTTTGCAAAACATATGCCGAACTAATGCATCATGATGAATGCTTGTTTAGTGGTCTTGCTACTTTTCTAGGAATACGCAGTTTTTTAAAAGTAAAGGAAGGGATGCCCTCACACATGAGATTGCCCAATCACATTTTCAATGACACCAAGCTGGCTGTAATAGGCCTTGGTCTCTTGGGCATTTCCGTGTTGGTTTCTTGCATTTTTTTTTCATAGTGTGTTAACTTAAACAACTTTGAGGGAAGATAAGAACTGTATGTTTAGAGGTATAGGTGTCAAAATTTCACCCTTTTGAGATCTCATTTCCAGCCTTCCTTCAGTACTAGTAGTAGTAGGGTTATATACAGAGGGCCTGCTGGTGAGGTTGGTTTTGATATAATATATGTAAAATCCATAGTAACATTTTTATCCCTCGAATATTATTATGTAATCTTTGTTTTGAACAAAATTATGACTTAATGTGATCGACACATTATGATGGTGTGTATGATGTAAAAATTACCGAAATACTTGCCATACGCCGTTGTAGAGACAAAGATTACATCCCATTACGTCCCTGCACCATTACAACCCTGCTTCATTACTCCCCACTGGTAACAAGATATAACACAATTCTTCATTTCAAAACCTAAGTACAGGGACCTAAAGGTAACCAATTTTTCAATTTGTCATTCAAGGGAGGAGTAATGGGTCCAGGAAGTAATGTTGAGAGGGTGTATAGACCTGGGTAATATCATAATTTTGCTTGGGGGCATAACAATGCAGGGGAAGCAAGGACACGCAGGGAAAATGTTGTGGGTACATAAAGAGTTGTCCATGAGACGCAAGTCAGTTGTTAGTTGAAGACTCACTGCTTTTATTCTTCTTTTTAGAAAATGGTCTCAAGATACTTAAATATAACAGCAAGAACCAAAACTGATATCAAAAACAAGACGGCATTTCCTACCCAAAATTTTATTATCCCTGCATTGTAAAGTCCAAAACCCATCAAAGCCAAGGACCTGGCTTCATCTCTTTAGGAAAAAGTCTCAGGATATTTATGATGTAACAGCAAAAACCAAAGACTAATATCAAAAACGAAATTAGATGGTGCTTTTTGCTTTTTACAAAACGTTTTATCCCCACAGCAATGATGCTTAACACCAATGCTTTTATTATAGTCTATAGCAACAAATGTTGCCTTAAATATTTATATAAAAGAGCTGTCCACTGAACTGCTAGGACTACTGTTAAAAAAATCCAATTTTCACACAAAATAATATATGTATAAATAATTCATATAAGGTATTTCAATGAAACGATGCATACATGCACTGCTGATAAATTTTAAAAATATTTGTTTCTGAGTTATTTTTAAGCAAAGGTTATGCACAATGCTCATTTTTTTCATAACAAACCACTGAGCATAAATTACATTTTCAAGCAATTAAAAGGGGCAATATGAAATCAAATTCTGCAATGGGATCTCGATTCAAAACAATATACAATATGCATATCACTGAAAGAATACTATACAGAATAATAATTCTCTCATAAGTAAATAAAGTGGCAGTATCTCATGTACATGTATTGTGCAGAACTGTGAAGTATATAATTTTATTTAATAGCAGCTACTTGTAATACCAGAGAACAAGACGTTCAGCTTTCATATGCTTGTACTTTTATCAGTGGATGAAAGACCATCTTTACATCTTCCCAGCAGCTTCCATTGCCTGAAAATAAAAATATGACACTGTAAAGTTACAACTATAAGGGAATTATACTTACTACTGAAATATGGAAATCTTCTATAATTCAATCACTAAGATTGAAATCAAGGATTTTGACACTTTGAAGCCGTTTCACCTTCTTTGTGGTTAAAAAGGAAAAAATTGAGTATATATGCAACCCCAGAAAATCCCTTCTAATTTGCTGAATTGTAGCAAATATGGTGTAACTGTATAAGACCCTTGGCACGATAAGCCCAAAGATATGCACATCAAAAATTGGTGTAAAAATCTTGGGGACAAAAATTTGGCCTCAAGTGTTCTTCTCCCCAGTTCAATCTATGCAACCAAAAGCTTACCTTTCTCAATGTGGAGCCCATTTGCGCTGGGGACTTTGTCACTTTGACACCAGCATTATTTAAAGCAGCAATTTTTTCCTGCGCACCACCTTTTCCTCCAGAGATGATTGCACCAGCATGACCCATCCTCCTGCCTGGGGGTGCTGTTAACCCAGCGATGAAAGAAACTACCGGCTTGCTATGAGGACCCTGTAACAATCCATTGCAGTGCATAAAATTTAAAGATGTACTACAGCTGCTTTCTTTCGTTAATAAAATACAAAGAATTTCACCTGAGCAGGAAAAAAAAACTGCATTTCGGATTTCCACAAGCAGTTTACAATATTATTTAAAAGATGGTTATTTGAACTTTAGGGTCATATTTTGAAACAGCTGAACATTTTACACAAGAATGTTAGAGAATATTACTGGAAAAAAAAGAATGACCCTACTTACAAGATTGTGTTCCATCAAATAGCTGGCTGCCTTTTCCTCTGCATCACCACCAATCTCTCCAATAAGAATAATTCCTGAAAAAAAATCAATATGACAAGCCTTTGACTTTCATCTTTTATAAAGTTGCATATCACTCAACAAAATAGACCAGTACATTTCTGAACCGTAGAACTGAATCCTGTTTTGAAATAATCAAAGTTGCATCAAGGCATAAAAAGGAAACTGCACAGTGTATGAAAATACCTTCTGTTTCTGGATCCTTCAAAAATATTTCAAGGCAGTCAATAAAGTTGGTTCCATTGAAAGGATCACCACCTATTCCTATGCACAGAGATTGACCCATGCCTGCCATGGTTGTCTGATGTACTGCCTCATAAGTCAGTGTACCAGAACGAGATACAATTCCTACAAGGAAGAAGAACAATTCAATATAAAATCAAAATGTAAAAGGCAGATGCTATACTTCAAATAAATAAATAAATAATTTGTTTAAGTTGGTATATGTGATGCGTAAAGATATGTAATTTTATAATTAAATGACAAAAATAAACTTACAAAAGAAGAAATCTTTACAATTGATGCAGATCAAAAGCATGTCTACCTTCAAACCTTACCTATTTTTCCTGGCTTATGTATATGACCAGGCATAATTCCAATTTTACATTCACCTGGCTATAAAAAAGTTATATTTTAGTGAAGGTTTTCCCCTTAATCCTTCAACATGTCAAAAACATATAAATATACTTTTTGAATTTGACAGACAAACATTCAGACAATATATATATTGTGAATAAGTGAAATAAAGTGTTGAATTCATGTGTTATGGAAAGTTCACCTGATTTACACTGCTGGACTTTTACTCAGACACCTTCGTACCTTAATGATGCCTGGGCAATTAGGCCCTATTAGCCTGCTCTTATCCTGTCGAATTAAATGATGCCGTACTTCCACCATATCCTTCTGAGGGATGCCCTCTGTGATACAGACAATTAATGGCATTTCTGCTTCCATGGCTTCAATGATAGCCTTTGCAGCAAAAGGTGGAGGGACATAAATAACACTGGCTGTGGCACCTGTAGCATTTTTGGCCTAAAATAAATAACAAAAAAGCTTTAAACTAAAAGTTTTTTAGAGCCCTTTCTTAACATTGGCATACAACTGAATGACATCACAATGCACTTACAGTTTTCATTGAGATTCTGAAGGCTTAGCCTGGTTTTTGCCAAATTTGAAGCATTCTATCTCAAAATCTAAGCAACAGTAAACTGAAATATTTACATGATATCACCCCAACAATTTGAGAACTTCTGCTATCATAGTTTTTCTTCAATGCCAGTTCAAATTTGAAAATAAGCCCTTTTTTGTCAAATTTCTTATAGTGTGAGTCCAAGCATTTTACCTCAACCACTGTGTTGAATACTGGCAATCCTAAAGATGGGTGCTGGGTGCCCCCTTTTCCTGGTGTAGTTCCTCCAACAATTTGTGTTCCATAGTCCAAAGCTTGCTTGCAGTGAAATGTGCCCTGGAAGAGATAGCAAATATTTTGATGCACTGATAGTTTTATATTCTACGCATGTATATATACTTGTATCTTTCTTTATCATGCTTACAAAACTTACTCTTAAATTATTTTTTCATTCTCTACATACATTTACATATAATGTTGCACCAAAAAGGATCACAGTACCAATAATGCAACTTCAAAGGCAGGTGGTAAGAACTTATCACCAAGTCAAGTTAAACTAAAATATTTGTAGCTCAGATGTTCAATAAATAAAACATCTAAAATTTATTAAATTTTACTAGTAAAATATCTCAGAGACATGACGAAGGTTCTACCTGTTTTCCGGTGAATCCTTGACAAATCACTTTGGTGTCTTTATTGATACACATATTCTTCCTTGTTGATGAGTAACAGTTCCGAGTGCCAGTTCTCTGGACTAAAAGATGAAACAAATCAAATTAATTATAGTCATTACTGGTTAAACTACATTGGCCTTTGAGTGACCAAGCCCTGGAACTCACTGTCTGAAGAAGTTGCCACAGCCCTAATCTTGAAGGCATTTGAAGATTACTAGATGAGCAACCAATACATTAGAGTTACCAATACATTACATACAACCCACATGCCATGACCTGAAGGATATGGACACAGTTGAAGAAAATCTGGATATAGAGGCTCCATAGGAACCTGCGTCCAGTACCTGCATACAGTGTAGGTATCTATAGGTAGGTAAAATATTTACTGGGTAATGTCTGTGAATAGCAAGGTATCAATTAAATTCCCTGTACATAAACACTCTCACAAGTACAATGTTGATTTTAATATTACTATTGAAGCCTTTCCTGCGCCTCATTCCTTTTCATTGGCGTCAATGCCAACTCAAGGTGACTGAACGCTATCCTAGGTGAAAACGTCAGTCTACGCAAAATACCCTTTGATACCAAAAGAGGTACGTTGCAAATGTTTTGCACCGAACTTAAATAATTTTTATTGAACATGACGTTAGAATGTGAACCGTTCAAAGTCAGAACGCAGGCAGAAATCAAAGTACAGGAGAGTGGAATAGCCAGCCCTTTACTCAGTCCAAGCCTCCAGCTAGGTAGCAATATTTGCAGTGCGATGACATAGTATAAACAGGCATTTTGCAATTTTCAACACTAAGCGTACAAAGGACAATAATCTCATTGAGAAATTTTAAATTGCCATTGAAAAGCATAACAAGTAAATTCGCTTAAAAGAATGCATTTTACCTATGAAACGTGCAAATGCCCTAGCGGTCGCCATTTTGTTGTCTCGCGAGAAAGAGACACATGATCTGGATTGCCCAATCGAAATAAATATCGGCCCACGAATTACCCGGATGCTGAGAGGAACCATGTCTTCGAAGCAGGTAAACAAATTTTTTGTAAAATGTTTGTAAGCCAATCACAACACCTTCAGTAGGAATAACTCATTGCAAGAACTCCTAAGCCTGAAATAGATCTATTTGTAAATTATATTATTGTCTATAGATCAAGGTTAAAGGAGTTTAGTCACTTGCCAGTCACTCTTTCTACTGTACGTATGACTGTTTCTGGAAAAAGCAATGCAATTTACTTTTCTTAGAATCAGAAGACGATGTATTGAAGTTACTATGAAGCGGAAATGTGATATAAGTGCTCATGAACTACTTTCTTACAGTATGCTTTTGTAGGCCATATAATGAAATGTAAGATCTGATAGTGAGATTGTCTTTGGCAGGTTTTTAAATTAAAAGGAAATTTTCCATGTGTCATGATTTCAAATAATTTCACTATAAAGTTTTCATGTAATTTGGATGGCACAGGACTGACCCCTATTTGTTTGTGTTTCCTACATAAACGTCTGAGGGTCTCTTGACTTTCCTGAAGAGATTTATGAGAGCCCTGTGGACTTTGTGAAAGTTTTGTAATTGTCTTAGATATCAGAAAAATTATCATAGGCATGGCAAGAATAGTCAATATTACATATGCAAAACTGGGAAATATTTCAGTTTAGAATTGCAACCACACAATATTACATAGTCACAACTTTAAAATATTTCTGTTTAGAATTGCAACCACATAGTCATAACTTTGAAATACTTCTGTTTAGAATCACAACCACACAATGGATGATTTAAACCGAATCCCGACACATCACAGTGCAAAGATATTTTTACACAGAGACTTCTCAGATGGGACACCTGTCCGGTTTCAGAACAAATTTCCCCAGGAATTACAAGACAGGGTAAGATGGGTTGGTAATCAATTTAAATAGAAAAAAAAAACTTTCTTACAACAATTTGATACAAATAAGGTTTGTTACATTATTCATTTTATTGTAATTATTTACTTTTGTAGTACAGCAAGTGATCTTTGTGTCATGTGTGTGTATACAGATAGTAAACATTCTAAAAAGTCATGCATTTTTTTCTTTTAGATTGATTCTGCCCAATTTACAGCAACTGTCAACCACATTAATGAAATCTATTCAGAAGCTGAATCATTAGGGAGCAGGACATACTGTGAAAGTTGTTTTGCGTGTCTCTCGGCTTACTTTCTTTACTTGTGCATTGAACCCCATTATACCAAGGTATGATAGACAAAATCTTAGCTTGTATACCTTAATTAATGAGAATTGTTTTGAGGTAATAACTGGTTTAAAAAGTTAAAATGTAACATAGTTTTTGTGTATGCTTTGAGTAGCAATGTTTGCCACTTAATTATGATGTGTAAGGAGTTAAATCGAAAGTCTGTTTAATGATTTGTAGAGAAGAAATATTGCCAAATGTTTTCTGTCATTGATGAAAAATATGCTTTCTGTTTGCAGTGTATAAAGAAAGCAGCTAGATACATTGAAGAACAGAACAAGAATGTCTATCTTCCCAAGGGACTTATGATAGTTGATCCAGCAGAGAGAGGCCTCAGAGTGGTATCCTTTGTCAATGTGTAATTTCAATGTGAAGTGTAAAGTCAATAAATGATAAACAGTACATCCCAGTTCTATAATATGAATACTTACTGTATAGCTGATAATGTTAATTTCTGTCAGAACCATTTTAAATTTTCTCCCTTCCTAATTTCTTTGTACTAGCCCCTATACAAATTGCTTAGGGAATATGAAAAGTGGTTTTAATTACCATGTTTAGAATTGCTTTGATTGATAAATTTGAAGAATAAGCAAATGTTGTTTGCAATTACATTTTCTTTAACCCACCCTCAGCTTGAAATTGTCATTCTTAGTGAAATAGCTGTAAGATGACAACAGTCTAACCTTTGATGGTGAACACGGACAAACCAAATGTCCAGAAACTGTACATATTATATTGGTAGAAAAGGACTGTGGACCATGCCTGACACCCATCAGAAACATTCACTATTTATTGGATTAATTACAACCACGATCTATTTGTTCACTAAAGTAAATTAATAGTGTTGAAATATCCTTTTTGGTATTCCCACTGGTAAGAAGTGTAAGATTTATTCTGACCCTCAATTATTTATTAAATATCCATAGTTTGTCAACAATGATATAAATAGTATAAGCCTTTTTTTTAAGCAGCTATATTATATAAACATATTGCCAAATGTATGGATTGATAACTATATTTCAGACTATATGCATCACCTTACGAAGCCCTGTAATGAAGCTCTATGTAGTACATAGAATAAAACTGCCTTAGAATCAAGAATGGTCGTTTCATCACAAGTTTGGCACAAAATATACAACACAGGCATGTAGAATTGAGATTTTGAATTGAATTTTATGTAATTTTAATGTCCATGCCTGTGATAAATGGTGCTATAAACAGATAAGTTGATGTAAATGATAGATTTCCTCTCTGGCTTCCTCTTCTTGTCACTTCACTCCTGAACCCTTGGTTTCTTCCATATTTTAGTTGGTCCTCAAACTAAGTATCATTATAATAAGCTGGAAATAGATATACATTTTGATAACTATTTAAATGTCAGACATCAGTATCGAGAATTATATTGTTGCATAGAGTTGGCACAGCAATGCATGGTAAGACTTGTACCAATTTCAATATTGTCAAGGATATATGAAAATATTTTTAGTGAAAGTATCTGTATATATATATATATATTTACGTCTGTCAAATTTAGAAACTGTTTGGTGTTACTAAGTTGTTACCCATGTATAAAAAAGATTGTCTATTATTCTGATGCTGTAGGTAAATTATTTGTCTTTTTGTGTAGACCTTCATGAAGGAATACAGCCATTGACAACAAGTTGATAAATAAAAAAAAAAGTGTATTAAAAATTTTGACAATTTATGTAGGACATGCAAGCTGATGTAATTGTGAAAATGTTTATTTCACGTAAATGTACTTTAGAAATATGTTTTACTAAAATACAACTCTTTTAAAATGTTTTGTCATATTACATTCTCTGAAAATTGCCTTTTAAGTCCTTGTCCTGCAATTATTTGAGTTTTGTCCGTTTAGTTTTTCATAATTTATCGGCCTAGGAAGTTATTTGAATTATAAATTGTCATAAGTTATATATGTCATCGGCAGTTTACGAACAAATGGTAGTGTTTGCTTACATTGTAATTGTATGCAAATCTCAGACACATAAAAGTCATGGAGTCATTTTTCAGTGTGAATCAAAAGAAGAATTTTATCAGTGTATATACAGAAATTTATTTTAAGGATGTTGTAAAAAATTGGACTTTTTAGAAAACATTTCCAATTGTACTTGGTAAGATGAAAACACAATGGAGCCAAAGGGTAAGCCTATGTATTAAAATGCAATTCATCTAGCATTTAAAAGCCTAGTTATATAATCTTACACATTCTCTAATAATGCCATCAGGACAAGTATTCTATTGCAGTTTTCTCATAACTGCAATTACTTTTTAAAGTATGAATACAACGGGTACAACAATGGAAAATAATTATGGCCATAATTCAACCCAGTGTATATAATTCTTGGTGCCAGAAATAGTTATAAACATCTGATACATTGTCAAATGTCTGTGTAGTGTAAATATTACTGTTTTGTATGCCTTGACAGCAAGCTTTAACAGTGGACAATATATCACTGCTTGTATTTAGGTCTGTATATTACTGTAATAAAAATAAAGGAATGCTTGAAAGGTGGTGTTGTTGTGACATTTATACTCGTCATATAACTATTTTTAAGTACAAACAATAGCATATATTGCAGGGCAAAGAATATTTTTTCAGTACATCACAAATGCAAAATCTCTGTCACCAAAATAAAGTCTGCAGAATATGTAACCTGGGTAGGGAATGCCATAGAGGGAGATATTATAATATTCTTAGTGTATTCTGTATAAATAATTCTGTGATAAAAATCTATAAATAATATTGAAATGAATCGTCTTATGCGAACTTTCAACACATGCCCCTTCACTTTAAAGTGACAGTAAGTTTTTCCATGTCATTCTGAGTTTTATCAAGTGGGTCAGTAGTACTTTGAGATTCATCCTTTGTCTCTGCACAGTCTACACTTTTCTTTGTTGGATAAGTGCGTGCACCAAATATGGTGCTTCCCACTCGCACATTTGTACTTCCAACTTCAATCTGAAAGAGAAATGATTAAAAACTTTAGTCATATTAATATTCTTCCTTTGTGAACAAAATTCCAATTAAAATGGGGTAAATGAAATAAATAGCAACTTTATGCACGCATATGAGAAGCTCTTAATTTTTATTATAAACAAGAAAAAAACGGTGGATTTGACATCTTATATTTAAGAAATCCCCACCATGTTCTTTACTTACTGCATGTTCAAAATCGTTAGACATGCCCATGCTCAGTTCTATTTCCTCCAATCTCAAACCAAGGCTCTCACATATCTCCTTTCTGCATCTTATTAGTTCCTGTAAAATAATTGCTTCTACATATTTTCTATAAATGTATCTTGGTTGTATTACAATTCTATCTGCGTAACATCTCTTTGCAATAAAATCATAAAATTGTTAAAGAAGATACTTTTAATGCAACACCGCACACACTAAGGGTGCTTTCCCAGAGATTTAGATCGATCTAAAGATTAAGATTTAGATCGACCTAACTCCCTGGGGTTCATTCTAAATTGCAGTCAGCCGAGTGGGCACCATAGTTAATTACCCCCTTACAGCTTTTAGTAGGCGGGACAGACGCTTAAGCCGGCCAAGCTGACAGTAATCTAGTGAGACTCCCCACAGGGATAGATCGATCTAAAAATCTATGGAAATGGTGTGTAAGGGATTTATGAGAAAGGTGAGAAAGGATTTATTAGAACTGTGAGCCTTAAAAGTTCTTTTTGAAATAAAAATTTCAGTGTTACAGTTCTTGGCTATATGATTGTTTCATTTCAGTGTCACCTTTCAGTATTTTACAAGTACATTTCTGTATAATATCATCTTATTCTTCATAAAATATCTGCCAAATATATTCCCACTAGTTCAGTTCAAGAGTGCCAAGATGCAAATTCTAAAATGAAATTTTTCAGGTTTTATGAAAAGATGAAACACCTTATGTGTGGAATAAGATGTTGCAAAGGGGAAAAAACTACCATGGAACAGCTCAAAAGCTTATAATTATACCTGAAAATCTGGATTTGGCCCTTTACTCAGGTCATATCCTAATGCACCTATTGTCATCAATCCCCCAAACTTCAGGTTAGGACAACTGGATATGATGTGGGAAACTAAAGCACCACACTGGTCAGGAGAGCATCCAGATTTATCTTTGGAAATGATAGAAATTGATAAAAGCTGTTATGATATGTCAGATATAGAAGTCTTTTGTGTCTTATGTGATGTGTAATTATAGTTAAGTAAAGCTGCCATGAATGACAAAATAGCATATTACACTCAGATGACTTGTTTTCTGTTAAATGTCTGTGCTTAATCTAAATAACTCCAAACTTTTAAAAGTATCTAAAATGGCACTAAATTGTTTACAAATATAATTCCTTTGAAATATCTTATTATTCAACAGTGTGCTGGGTGTGACAGGTTTAGCACAGATTTACTGTATGTCATACAATTAAACAACTTACTCTCTTCTTTACTTGTATTTACTTGCACAAAGATTTTCAGTTTGTCTGACTTTTCTAATTTTCCCCATGCAGTGTTCAGTTTAGTAGCTAATTTCTCTGTATCAATCGTTTCTATTACGAATAAATTTGGGACACCTAAAACATAGAAAATAAAATGTTATCAAATTAGCTTTATCTTTGTCACTATTAGAAGCAAAACAACAACAAAATCCTAAAGATTACAAGTATTATTGGTAAATAAGTTTATAATTTAAGCTGATGTTTTAACCTGAACAAGATACCTATAACTTTAGGAATTTTTTTGCTCTGTAGTGGTCCTATGAAATGCCACTTGATGTCTTGACATTTTTCTAAAACCTAAAAAATGGAAAAAAATCCAGCACTGAACATTCCATTCTTTGCTACATGTACAGTTGTACCTGTCTGAAAATGATACAGAAATCGACTCTCAGAAATGAAGAAGGACATGGTGGTCTAATTAAGTGACTGGCGTAAATAATTCAGAACAAAAACGTTAAACATGCTTAGGTGTAGGGATGGGTCAAGCAATGATGCAGGAGCAGAAGGAAATTGCTCCTTTTTTAAAAAAAATGTAATTTTAAGAAAAATACCCACATAGAAAGCCTTATGAATTTTTAAAGGGTTATTATAATAAAACTTGCTGTACTCTATTCAACAAACTGAATAAAACTAAATGAACTATGGGTCTTAAATGTAAAGCAACTACATGCTTTTAAATAAAATTATATACTGAACAATGCATTTGGGGCATTGAATACAAAGTACATGGTACCTACCGTATCTCTGCTTTTTTGTTCCAATTCTTGAACCTGTAAATAAACAAAAGTCTTGCCCTTTCATACATGCACGCATATACAGTAAGTTAAAATATAAATAAACAAGTTAACAAAGTATTTTTCTATTTGAGCACACAATTGCTATGTATACTTGAGTATCTATTCATCAAGTCATTGATTTATTTATTCTTTATTAATTTTTCAGCAATATGTGAACAGTATATCATCTACAATGTATATGTAATACTCCAGATTAAATTAAATATAAACAAAAAACTCACATAATTTTCTCCAAAATGTTTCTGGCCACAGTTATAGGCTTCTAGCACCATATCTGGTGGCTTTGTTTTACTGACAGCAACAAGTCTAGGATGTAAATCTGGAAGATCCTATATAATAATAATAATAAACCCCCTATAACAAAAGTAAGATCAGTCAACATATGAATGGTATAAGCAAACATTGCAGACAATATCATTCGATTGCATTTACTTTTCAGTCACATGCATTCTAACATTTATCTGTATATTGGACATGTACCGAAGGTCTTCTCTGTGCTGCTGCTGTCATCCTGTCTAAGACATCTCGCAAAGCACTTCCTACACCAGATGAACTTGCCATCGCTCTTCTCATGTTTAATGTGACCTAATTGCTGCGGGGTGACAAATATCACTTATCAAGAGAAAAAAATACTCATAACTCTTTAAATAGAATTTTGTACTTCTGCTTTATGCAAAATGGAAATTTTGTTTAAAATTAATAGTTTTTATGGAAAACTAATTTTTCAACAAGACGGCTAATTTCTGCGAATCTTCACAACCCTCGTATACTTCCGGTGCTAAAGGTTACGAGACATGTGTACATTTGTTCTTATCTTACGACATGTGTGTGTCGTTTGCATAGTTGCAGTCTTTGTCAACAGTTTGAGCAACGCAGTCACAGACAAACCTGCATGACTGATGAGAAGTGAATGTTTTTAATATTACCATTGAATAATCCCATTGAGTATTCTATCGTTTTTATTATCTGTTGTAAAAAGTGTTGCCGAAAAATATCGAGTTGAAAACATAAATGATGTGGGCCGCGGTTTTACTGTGTCAACACAAATAGAGTAGACGTGCGTCCAGATCTGCAGTCTCTTTGCGATAGCAGTCTTGTATTCACATTAAGTTATCAGGGATAAAAGAACTGCATAAAACAACGTATGGCAAGGATAGAGCAACCGCCTCGTAAGTTACAAAATAATGATAATAATAATAATAATATTTTAAGTGGCCGGACTTTTGAAATGTTAATACTTATAATGTATGTTGACCATACATTGAGGTTTTTAAAACATCAGTAGATGTACTGTACCCCAGTAGCTTGAAGCCTTACTGGTACATGGGCAAATGCTTTGATTGCCTACTTTATATTTTAAAATGATGCTTGCATTATTGAAGTTGACTTTTTTGTCTCAGATTATATGAAATGATTTCTGTACATTGGTTATTTAGTTTAACATTCAGCAATGTTTTAAAATATACTAGTAATTAAGGTCGACAGGCTAAATTTAAAAAAATTAGATTTAATCTCAAGTCATTTAAGAAGAAGAGATATACATGTATGTTCTGGTCATCAGATCAAGTCTAACTGTTAGAACTCTGTCTAATATTGATGTATATTATTGTAGCATGCCCATGGTTTGGCATGGACATTGGAGGCACTCTGACCAAGCTGGTGTACTTTGAGCCTACGGATCTCACAGATGATGAGGAGGGTGAGGAGCATGAAACCATCAGGACTATACGCAAATATCTCACTGGCAATAAAGCCTATGGTAAATCTGGCATAAGAGACACCCATTTGGAAATGAAAAACCAATCATTTGATGGGAGGACAGGGACTATACACTTCATAAGGTTCCCAACCGCGGGTATGGGAGCTTTCATTGAACTGGCTAAAGCTAAAAATTTCCCCAGTGTGGCAGAAACTATATGTGCCACAGGAGGTGGAGCACACAAGTTTGAGCAAGATTTCAAAATGGTAAATATTGGTCTATTATAAAAAGATTTCTTTAAGGCACTCAATGTGCATGGATCACTTCTTGTTGAACTTATCTAAGGACAATTAAAGACTCAATATTTGGGGGTGCTGTTTACTCCAGTGTAATTCATTAAATATCAATTTTGGCACGAAAATCCTCCTTTGTGTACCTTAAGTATCAATGGGATTTCAATTACAAATTTGCTGTGATTTAAAGCATTTAAGAAATAATACGGGTGATAAGAAAATGCATTCCTGTTAAGATGTTCATAAACGGTGTTCAAATATTTACTTACTTAATCTCAGTTTGTTTTTGAAGGGCAGAATACAGGTCTTGTTTGTTCACATTGAAACAAGATGGGTTGGGTGCTCATATCCACAGCCATTCAGTATATTATGTAGTGAGATTTAAGTTATAAGATACATCTTTATGAATTATGTGTGTATTATATTTGAAAGCTTGCCACACATGGTGAATATATATCATACCAGTTTATACAGACCTTCTCTTATATAGTTGTATGTGTAAGAAAGGGTTAAGATGTAGATTTTAGTTTAAATGCAGATTTAAAATCACTCATAGATATTAAATAATTTCCATTTCTTTTTCACTTAAGTATATCATATGAAATCAGTTGGCAATGGTGTGTGCGTATAGCAACTGTATCTCATGTATTGTTAATTATTGTGGTAGTTATAGTTTCTTACTGCAATTTTGCTTGCACTTTGCTGGCGGGCCACCATGCTGGTGCTTGGATTGCATGTGTGATTATATGAATAAGATATGAATAGGAGTGAAAGAAGGTGTACTTTATATGAAATCTTGGGAGGTTGTTAATGTGTGTATGTGTTTGTGTCTATGTTAAGCTCAGAATAAAATTTTGATCTATTTTAGTCAACCATAAAAGAATTAGAGCAGTTTCAATTTTACAATTGAAAATCAAGTAACAAGAATGCAATGTTTACATTAAGCAAATACATCAACTAGAAAAGAAAATTTCCCTTTTTTAAAACCAACTGATTATTTACTTACCATTGCAGGAAGTCAATTTGTCACTGAACAAACTGGATGAACTAGACACCTTGATCAAAGGAATACACTACATTGACAGAAATAATCCGGATGAATGCTACTATTGGAAGCACCCCACAGAGCCAGAGAGGTGTGAAAAGGTGCCCTTTGATTTCCGGGACCCCTACCCTTACCTGGTGGTCAACATAGGGTCAGGGGTTAGTATGCTGGCCGTCAGCTCTCCAACTGAATACAGGAGAGTGACAGGGACCAGGTAATGTATAGATATATGTAGTGAAATTATCTGGTTTTACGGGTAAACGATGATTAGTGATAGTTTATTAAGCTCTGTACTGTACATTGTTACATTTTACTGCACTCTAAACTATATGTTTTGATACAGAATTTATTAATGAAACAAATAGTGAAAAACAAAAACGCAACTCACAGAATCATGTAAATGTTCCACTTAAAATAAAGAAGGTTTAGTCGGAATGATTTATGAAAATCCTTCTCTTTGTCTGTTATACTTTGCTTGTATTAGGATAGCACTGCTATAAAACTGTGTTTGTATTCATGGTTTGAAATATGAATGGATTATCATTGATTTCAGTCTAGGAGGTGGTACATTCCTAGGTCTCTGCTGCCTGTTAACAGGGTGCGAGACATTTGAAGATGCCATACAGCTGGCAGCCCAGGGGGACCACCACAGCGTGGACAAGCTGGTCAAGGATATCTATGGTGGGGACTATGAAAAATTCCATTTGCCTGGTGATTTAGTTGCCAGCAGGTAATACTCAAAAACAAAAACAACATATCCAGTGATGGACATCAGCCATCTTATTGTTACAGATATGAATTTGTTATTACTATTTGATGTAGTGAAAACACTATTATGATCTCAGTTATCTTTTCTTTACTGTATCTGATAAGTATCAAGTGCTTTGTTAAATACTTTGATATTATCTGAACTGCTTATTTTTTCAGTCTTTCATTTTGATGATATATTTTTGTAGCTTCTTGTCATGACTCTTGCCTCTTATCTTCCTTTAGTTTTGGGAACATGATATATCCAGATAAGAGAGACACTGTGTCAAAATGTGATTTGGCCAAAGCCACTCTGGTTACCATTACCAATAACATTGGTTCCATAGCACGAATGTCTGCAGTCAATGAAGTAAGTTAATTAGCTGGGTCATAGGGTCTTCACTAATATTTAATAAGATATTGAAAGATTTTGAAATTTTCAAGTTTAAGACCTGAACATTTAGTTCTAAAGACAGAACCAGTAGGCCATAAATAAAAAATGAATATAAAATCATTTGAAGAGAGTTCAAAACTGACCATAACATTGCCCTTGATGTGTAATTTAAGATCGTTTTGAAATATTTTATATACCACACAAAAAACACTCACTCACACTGGGTTAAAAAGTGACAGTTGGGGCTCATTTTGTGGTCATTTAATGTATAATGTGTTGTTCAGACAATGTGGATGTATGTTATTATCCCATATAATTACATAAACTTTACTTGTGAGATTTACCTGGATCTGTTTATGTCTCTAAACTAAATGTATTTTTATAGGGCATAGAAAGAGTTGTGTTTGTTGGAAATTTTCTGCGAGTGAACACCATATCTATGAAACTCCTGGCATATGCAATGGAGTATTGGTCTAAGGGTGCAATGAAGGCTTTGTTTCTGGAACATGAGGTAATTTTGTAACAATACTCCAGTACCTTTTACTGAATAATTTGATTATAAAATTTCACAATTTCAAGTTTTCTAGTTGCCGGTATAAAAAAGGCATTTTGAATGTAAATACTATCCCACTTCAGAAGAACATTAGCATTCTTATAAATATCTAATTGATTTATTGATCATACTAAAACCTTTTCATTTGACTTTTTCTCTTAGGGTTACTTTGGAGCAGTTGGCTGTTTAATTGATCTGGTCAGTGGTGGGGGTTATTAGGTCAATAACAGTGGATGAAAAAATACTTTGACTGGATCAAAACTTTTGTTTTGAGTGTGTAACTGGGTTACTGTTGACACAGCATTATTGTAGTTGGGCCTGAATAAACCTAGTATATGTTCTGTATACCATTATTGTCTAGCACACATCACTGCATTTAACTAATGTATGTGTTCAGACTATTGGAAAGTTGCATCTGGAAAAAGTTACATAAGTAATAAACTGTGTTTGCATTTACAAAAGGATATATAGATGCAATACTTTGAACATGTTTTCTAGGTAATGACTAGGTCCATGTAAACAATTCTCAGTCAACTTTATCAAAGTTGTGTTGAAAAATAGTGTCCTTGGAATTTACGTAAATTTCAAATTCACTGTTACAGTAGAGTAAGAAAATGGTTTGAGTGAAATATGGTCTTGGTGACAAGAATTTATGCTCTGCAAAATGAGGTCTCATTTGCTAAAAAAAATGCTCAATTGTTTTCTGAGAAAAGCATTCCAAACCCATAGATTCCATGCATGCACAAATGGAAAGGGGATAAGTACACAAACCTGTACATCAATGAGGACTACAGGGAGTGGATAATTTTTACAATCAAAGGTTTTATGTTTACCAAATATATTTCATGATTTTGAAGATTTTTGAGGACTCGCTTCACACACACAATGGAACACAAGTGGTATTTTTTATAAATACTAGAATGTTATTTTTTAATGGTCAAGGGTTATGATAGCATTATCTCAGTGGGTATTCATTTCTGTATAATTGTAATATGCTCATGGCTGTTATAGGTACCCAGAGCTCTAGCTGAAAGTAATCTTGGTTTCTTAGATACAGACCATTGGTCAAGCAAGAAATGGAAAAATAAATGATTCTGCCTTTTTAGATAACTAAAACCCAGGGTATTTTAAATGTCATAGATTAAAAGTGGGGGTATTTAAGCACTGTCTATGTATATACTAGTGAGTGGTGTCTTACACATATTTAACAGGGATGAGATTTTTCTGATCATTGGTGGAATTCCAACTTTTTTGGAGCTAAAAATATCACTGGCCTATGTGCCCCCCTGGACCCCAAACCATAATTTTTCGACTTTTTCACTAAATGGCAGTCTTATCCCTGATTTAAAGGATATATCTAATACTATTTTTAGGCATTGTGGTTGGTCTGTTTTATTTTATTATGTTGTTACTCACACCTTAGTCTTCCCTCATGAAAGTAGGTCTATGCAATTCATTCTAGAATGATTTTCAACTTTACAAGCATTTGACTGTTCAGATAGGTAGTATTGTATTTTGCATCCAGTTTTACTTGTTGAAATAGTAATATCTAGGGCCCATCAAGGTCCTACGTTATATTCATTTCTAGCAACGTGAACATATTGAGTTATTTGCAAAATTACCTGAATCAGTAAATCTTGGCTTGAAATTGACCAACAGTGTTTCTGACAAATGGACATTATTTACTTTAAGGTATTTATTAGGGATCTAGATACTTTTTCATTTTAAAGTGCAATTGAATGGGATTGTAGTTTGATAATTTATGTGTGAACATTTATGATAATTTAGAAGGAACAAGAGAGCCATTTTTACATTCCCTTTGGTTCATTATATTACTTGTATCTAAATACGTTGGAGCTGTCATATGTAATTTTTTTCTGCAATGTTTGTTTTTATCATACCATAATGGCCAGCAGTATTTTTTTAAAAATCTTATCTAAATGGGTATTAATAAACTGTGAAGTGCAAGGGAGTTGTTGTCAAACAATATTATGATTTTTTGTTTGGTTCACGTTTGGACATTTTTTTTTACTGCTGCAGTTGTAACCAAGTATTTCTAAATTTACAAGTAGAAGGTTAGGAATGCCTAATGACCGAGTTTTCAACAGCTGAAATTAAACTAAATGATATCTGGCCATTCAAAGAAAATGCAAAGTTTTGGGTGTTACTGCCAAAGATCAGCTATCCATCATCACATTACAGCCCAGTTAGCCAAACTGAGTATTCTTGTCTATCAGAGGCAGTATTTGTCTCCAAGAGAAAAAAATGACAAATGTTTTAATTTAGTATATATTTTATTTGATGATTTAGATATTATTTCAAAAAATAAAGATTACACAACCAGTAAATAATTACACAGCTTCGAGTGCACATTGCTTTCTCTTAAAAGCTGCATGATACTTGTTCACAGAATGAGTATATCAAAGAACATTGGCATAATGGTATCAAAACTACTTTACACAGATATACCAATCAGATCATTATTCTAAGCTATGCAAAGAAGGTTGATGCATCAATAAGATGCATTACACCATAATAATAAATTGTGTAATCAAATCCTCTACTAAAGGCCAATATAATGTAAACAACTAACTTCTGTATGCATAAAAAGTAACTGATAACAGATCCTACATGACATTAAGATTGCCAGCTGCTTAGAGCACAAACATAAATCACATGGTTTAGCCACAGCCTGAGAAAAGGCCAACATACCCTGTATACTACAAGTACAATACAGCAAAAGCTATATATCAGAACTTTAAACGACAAAAATACAGACTCTTCTCACAGCTGTCATAATTTTGGAAAAAACTAAGAATATAAGTTAAAGGAAAGATATGTTATTTCCACTGTATCTACAAAATTTACATATGTTCTTGGTATATAAAAGTAAGAAAATTTGGCTCGGAATTGTCTTGATATGAGTGACTTAATTGGACCCATGTTCAACAATTTGCACAAAAAATGTACAATGTTAAAAAAAGAATGCATTCAGTATTTGAACATAACAAAAATAACAAACTATCAATAATATGAGTATTAAATGACTTAGAACTGTAAATAAAGATATCATTCATCAAATTAAAGGCAGCTGTTTTAAATATATAAGTAGAAAAATATATAAATGCACTGTCTACTTGAGTAGAAGACTACTTTACAAGTTGTTAGTCTCATTAAATTAAATCTGGTATCTTATCCCGCACACAACCACCTCATTTTTCAATTTACACCATTCATTTCATTCTCGCTGGTCTATTAAACAAAAATATTTTATCGCATTTCTTTTCATGGAAGTATGTAAAATGTTTATTTTACATGGGTCTTAATCTTCATTTTACTTTTTACTTTGGCAAGGCAGATGTACCAAAGAGAAATGTCCAAAGCAAATTAAAGCTATACCCATTAACTGCAGTAACTGCTCAACTATCCACTTCCAAATTTTCCTTTCATCTTTTTGAAAGCCCCCTGCAGTTTTCCCGAGGAAATCTTGTGAAAATTGGTCTCATGCTGTGCGGCCAGTGCATGCAAGTCATGCTCGCTGTATTCCAGCATGCGGTTTCGCAAAGATTCTTGAAGCTCTCTGTTTGGCTCAAAGGGATATGTTTGCTTCTTGAAAATCCTAATTTGATCAATAACTGTGGCGATAGACCTGATACAGAACAAAGTTATCTATTTAGTAACAATTTCATACGTACACAAACTTGCAATATAAACATAAAAGAGGATAAAAAATGATTTAAATAATTTAAAGAATCAAAAAATTATGCTTTAAAGTAAATAACCTCAATCTAATAAAATCCTGTAATATAATTAAAAAATTCTGGGTTATTTCATTTTGATTGCTAAAGCAGAAACACACCTCATCTTGGACCATTTGTACATTCCATTGGCAAGAGTAAACCCTCCAAGTTCCAGCTGCTGTATGTGGAGCAGGAAGAGGATGATGCAGGGAATTGTGGGAACTTGTCTGTCTTCATCTGTCTGTAGCAGACATAGGCTGTCACTCTTCAGAAATACCTAGAACATGATTTATAACTTGTGAAACATTCTTGATATGTCAAACTGTGCAACTGTGCCCGTTGTACTAACAATATCTTTTAAATTAAAAAAAAAAAAAAAAGATGAAAAACATTTAACACAATGAGTATTGGTAATTGTTTCTAACCTTCACATTGATCAGCTCCTCCATTATAGCAGCACTTTTACTGGGCAGGTGGCGCCACACCTAGGTTCAACAAAAATATGTTTTAAATATGTATAGAAAATTGTTAAAAGTGAACATGATAGCAACCAAACGAAATCTATTTAACAAATTGAATACTTTGATTAAATAACCAAAATACAATAAACTAATACTTATTGCTTGAACAATGGAATTCAAGACAGAAGAAATTGCTTGCTTACAGGCAGCTGTCTAACTATCAAGTTTTCTAGACCATCCAGTATGGCCATACTGGTGGCAAAGTTCCTGATACTGTGGCAAATTTTGGCTGTGTGGATGAACTTGCTCAGCAGGGCAATTTGACTCTGAAAATATTGTTTATTATGCCCTTCTTATAAAGTAAAAGCACAGAATACATAGTATGATGCATACACCCTACTGAACTGGCATACTTGTACACGCTCAAACACAGAAAATTATTGTAATTATAATTATTAATATTTCCCATAATATTTAAAAAATGAAAAAAATGATACTGACTAGCACATCTGTATTTTCAAAATACATTGCAAACAAGGCATTTCTTGTACAACACAAGTTAAGTATATCACCAGAAGAAATTCATTCCCATTTAGCTTACATCAGATCATTCCCTACCTTAGAGGAGCTGCAGGTGACTAGTTCAGCAGCCACCCAGTATGATATACTCTGGGAATACTCTATCAGGGTGTGTATCACAGCATCCTGAACATAGGAGCCAGCAAACAGACTGCTACTCTGAACCTCATCCAGGTTTAACCTGTACAGAGAAAATGATCACAATAAATGGTGGGTTATTTAAGTCAACAGTACAGGGTATTTTTTTAATCCACCCTAAATACATAGCAAAATTACTGCAATTTCTCTTATTAGAACATAAATTACACATGACATTTTGATAAAATTATTCTATACATTTGAATTGTGTCAATAATGATATGCAAATATATATTATGAACAGTGTTCAGCCTTAATTGTAGTAGGCAAAAATAACTTTGATGTCATTAATATCAATAAATATAAAACCTTAACGAACATTCCTTATGAACATTCCTTATAATTAAATAAAGTAATTAAGAATTGACTTGTTTACAGAGTATGATTCATCCAGGAATGTCTTACCTCTGCACTGAGGCTGCACTGGTGATCATGCCTCCATTAGCCAGAGACACTCCTATCCCCTGAGCCCTGGTGTTCAGGAAATGTACTGGGTGGACTTGTTGGAATAAAGTCTACAAAACAAGTACAAACACTAAATAAATACGAGATTATCACACACAATTGATGCAATATGTATTTCATAGTAGAAATCATACACATGATAGCATATTAGCAATAATAAATTAGAAATGTTTCGATATGTAGAAAATTCAAGATGGTCTGTGAGCCCATTTCAGTTTCATATGGACTGAACACTCTATTCATTATAGACGGGTTATGTATCCATTTCAGTTATTCATTATAGATGGGTTATGTACCCAATTCAATTATAGATAGGATCTGTGCCCACATTCAGTTACAGATGAGTCATCTGCCCACTTCAATTCAATATCAGTTTTACCTGTTTCACCATCAAGACAACAACTGACCTGCTCTACCAAAGTCAACTGCTCTGCCAGTGTCTGTGAGGTGTAGTCTCCAAGAGTGAAGGCATCAGTCTTCCTGGCCACTGCAGGGAAATACACATCCCCCATGGTCTCTTTCTTCTTCTTCTCCAGGCATGCCATCAGGCCTGTCTTGGGTTTGGATGGAGTCTTGGGACCCAGGCTCAGGGCTGCCTTCACAAACTCCCACTGCAATTCATCAATTTTTAAAAATAAAATACCTTAGAAGATTCTTTAACTCTTAAAACCTTTCAGAAAAACCCATCCGTTGACAGGAGAATGAGAACATGTTTAATCAACTATAGCTGTCAACAAAAATTTTGAAAAAATTGTGTATTTTTTCATTACCTTAGTTGGAGAAGACTCATCTTCATGCACTAGCTCTAATTCCACATCCTCAGAACTGAGAGCATCAGTAACAGCCATGTCCCTGTGCCTGCCTTGTCTACAGGTCTCTATTAGCTGTAGTAAACCATCTGAGTCTGGCTCATCTGGTAATACCTAGAATACAGAACAAGACAAGAACATCTGATTAGATATTATATTCTAAAAATTAAATCATAAATTTGCTTAATCTTTTAATTTAACTACATTTGTATCTGATGTAATTAATATATTATTTTATATCAAAGTGATATTCATATGTCAGAACAATGACAACAACGAATAACTTCCTGGCAAGTGTACTTCTACAACTCTGAACCTGAATAACATAGAGAAAAGCAACAGTTTTGAATTCATCCATAGATCACTTCATCATTTCTAACTATTATTTGATAATTATCATAAAGTAAGATTGTAGCACCACAGTAATGTGTACATTTATGTGTATTAATTTTCTTATGTGCTGAAATTGCATGTATGATTTTCATTTGGGCTCATGCTTGAAGTCAATGTTGTAAAAGCCTAGTGAGGCAGCCTTACCTGTTCTGTGATGACTAGATTCAACATCCTGGCAACACTGGGTTCATGCTTGAAGTCAATGTTGTAAAAGCCTAGTGAGGCAGCCTTACCTGTTCTGTGATGACTAGATTCAACATCCTGGCAACACTAGGTTCATGCTTGAAGTCAATGTTGTAAAAGCCTTCCATCCACACATATAGCAAATCAATGGCACGCCGCTTGACCTTCTCTGCATTCTCATCATCTGGTCTAGATCAAGATAAAATATTGATGATAAGAAAAATATATACTTTCATTAATTAACAATACTTCTGATATCTTAGCAGAACTTGTTATTTTTCAAGTTGCCTAATATAAAAAAAACTTCCATAAAATACGGAAAGACAGATATGTACAGACTCATAATAACAGTATATTCATTGGATATCTTGGATATGCTGTGTACATATTTTATCACATTTTAGTTTCTCTGAACAGGAACAGCTATAATAGCATACCTAGAAGTTGCTGCACTCAGTTTCTCCGTAATAAACTCCAGCAGCTGTGCAGGTGTCACCATGTAGCGGTAGCAGTAGAATAAATGATGGATGTAGCTCTTCGAGAGGGTGGTGCTGGTACAAAATAGAACATCTATTATGTCACATTTCAATGGTACATAATTTATGAAAATACTAGGAAAAGCTACTAAATATTTACGGTTTTAATAACATAACTAGCAATGACTGAAAATCAATTTTGTGGTTATGCATTTACAGTGACACCTACATTGTAAAACTGAATATATTTCATGCATAACACATACTGTTTGAAAGTAGTACAAGAAATATGATAATACCACCCATAGTATAGATAACCTACATATACATCTTATACAATTCATATACAATTCACTCACCTGGCAAACAAGAAAGCCATGAGTCCCAGTGGAGTGCCAGCCTGGACCAGCTGTTGTTCTGTGCCGTCTGGGTCCCTGATGACCTGGATCTGTAGTAAGGGGTTGTCTGGCCCCCACTGTAGCTCCAGGGTCCCCGGGGAACACTGGGCAAATGAGTACATGTAGTTCAGGGCCAGACCCTGGCTTTCTGCATACAGCATCTGGAATCAGAATTGTGGTTGTTGTTTTTACTTTTTTTCTCTTCATTTTCTCTCTCTATCACACAAACACACAAAAGTCGTTTTTGGTAGACAGGTCTGCTTTCCCCCCCTAAAATATCATTTGTTTGGATATCCTAGGAAAACAAAAATTTCAAATGTGAAACTGGCAATTAAGTCCAATTTTCTTGCACTATTAAACAAATTAGATCAAAACGGGTTCTGCCCAAAGTTTGTTACAAAAGTGAAAGGGTATATATAGAATATTCCTATTTGATCCAATGCCAATTGCTCATAAAACTTACATCCAGATGTTTTCTTGCCTCCTCCAGTAAGGAGAGTTTGTCATTCATCTCGGCAATCTGTTTGGACACACGGGTCAGCATGGTGCGCTGTTCTGGGGTAGCTGAAAGTACCCAAATTATCATACTCACATTCACTTACTGAAGCTAAATGTGAAGAGTTTTACTCATTTGAACTTCTTTTACAAAGGACTAAGATTAATGATGAACAAGGCAGCAAAGCTGTCAAAAGAAGAGACATAAAAATGACCAAACTAACAACAGCAGTAATGACAACAGATGCATGTGGTGTGATGGCTAAATGTCTAGTCGCATAGCATTAGTACATAAATTTTTATTGAGCTTTTAACTGAGGCAAATTACCTACTTAATACAATGAACTGACCTTTGCCAAATAACCCTTGAAAACCTTACTTTGAAAGTCATCTAATGACAGTTTGAATGGCAATTACCTTTGTGATTTTTGTTTGCATCCAGTAACTTGCTGTAATATTTTTGAGTTTTCTTCTTCATTTTTAGCTCATACGCTATTTGTTGATCAATCTCGGCCATTTTGGTCATGAGATCTTCTTTCTTTGCTGATCCCTATAACAAACAAATATGACATAGGATATTTCACTGATTTCAAACACTATCATCTGCCTGTATCAGAAGACATTGCAAAATAATGATAATAATAAGAAGAAGAAGAAGCAGAATAGAAGAAGAAGAAGAACAACAACAACAACAACAGTAGCAACAACACTGGTATTCTTCATAACCATCAAGTAACAAATACCAATAGCACTAGCAAATGTACTATAAGTAGAAATTAAAGTCCAAAATAAACACAACTTCTTACCAGTTCATTCACAATAGACTTCACCATAGTATTGTACTTCCCAGCCACATCAGCATAGTAATACACAATGTTTGCTTTCTTCTTCATCTTATCCCCACCACTGCCTGACCACCCCTCAGCCGCAGAAGTGGCTCCACCTTCACTTGACCGATGTCCAGCTGAATGGTCACTGTGTACAGACGATACGCTCCCCTCCCTGGTCAACACCTTTGACTGGGACAGAATTCTCTTTCTACTCCCACTGACGCTAGTGCTGGAGTCAGACTCCCAGTGCTTCATGGAGTCCTTTCTCTCACTGTTATACTTGAACGATTCCGACAAGGACTTCCGCCTCTCAGAATCTGACACTGACTGTAGTGTGGATGACAGGGCAGCTTCAATATGGTCAGTGTCACTTTCTGAGCCCTTGACATGGATCAGTTTGGGTTTTCCTGGAGCTTCTAGCACCCAGGTGGTCTGCCTTTTACGTCTACCTTCACTGGCCTCAGAATCAGACCTAGCTCCATCCAAGGCAGTCTGACTGTGTGACTTCACCAATGTCCCCTCTGCAGCAGCCTCCGCCATTGCTTCCTCCATTAAATTATGCATAGAAGAGCTCTTCCCCTTATCAAGTTCGTGTCTCTTCCTGAACCTCCTCCTGTGTCTGTCATAATAGTGCTCAGTGTCAGTGGAGTCGGAGGTGTCAGTGTACGGCAAGCGCATGGCTCGAGGTCTGAGTAGCCGGTGGTCAGTTGGGATGATACGCTCTCTGTCCCCCAGCCTGACTGGTCTGAAGGCAGACATGGCAGCTGTCCTGGGACTCTGGTTTCCATTGGGAACATCAACACTCAGCACCCTGGCTGTGGGGGAGGTCAAGTTGGCAGAACTGAAAACAATTAAATTACTCTTAATTTCAGTTATCTAATTGCCTGTAACAGTCTTGGGACCCACTGATGTTCAATTTAGTATTATAAAGTAGCAAATGGAAACAAAGAGCCATAGTCAACAGTAATTAATTCTCAAACAACTTTTAGGCTTAAATATATCAAACAAAAGTATTAGTTTCTGGATGTCAGATAATGTATTGGTCAGCAGGACCAGATCACATGCACACACATGCATGCATTTTTACACACACACACACACACACACACACACACACACACACACACACACACACACACACACACACACACACACACAAAAAAAAAAATAATAATAATAATACAATAAGAAAATTTCAAAATGCTGAAAGGGCATTACACTGTAACCTAGCTCACCTCTGTGCTTTGTTAGGTGCCTTCCCATTCACTGCCTCATAGAGCTTGGTAAGGAGATCCTCCTGCCAGAACAGGTCACAGTACTTCTCTGAGATAGCACTGCTGAACGTCTCCCACTTCAAGTTGGCAAGAGAGCACACATAGTCAGCTGTGAAATAAATAAATAAACAGCATGAAAGTTCATTTTTGGTGTTGTAATTTATGGGGTCATCGAAGATCATGATCACTACTGGCAATATTTTGATAAACATGGCTACTGTCAATATATCATGTAAATAAATTATAAATAATAAATTGTAAATTCAAAAATTATAAATAAAATACTTATCTCTTCTTACTTCATGTAGCATCATTTAAGAAAACAAATAAAATAAATCCAGCTTATTTTGTCAGTAACAGCACTCACCCATGGCAACATCCTCCACACCATTTTCCAAATAGCCATCAAAGGCAAACTCTTCCCTTATCAGGTGGATCACCTTCCCCACCTGCTGTTGTCGTCCATCTTGTCCTAGGAGCCTCTCCATCAGGGCAGGGTCCCCTGTGAACCCCCTGTACAACCCACTCACCCCACTGTCCTTGGACAGAGATGGGGACGGGACTGGAGAGGGGACGCCACCATTAGATGATGTGACTACTTCCCCCTTGGACAGTTTACGATGGTTCTGATTGGTTGCTGACTGCAGAGGATTGATTGACTGTGCATTGTTTTCTATCTCAGTGTCATTTTTAATTAGAATTCCTTTCTGAGGTTTTGCTGAACTTTCACAAGTTGGCTTCTGTTCTGGTATCACCTCTGATGATGACTTTCTACCCTTTCGGATAGGTTTCTGTGGGCTCTGAGAGTTTTTGTGGTTTCCATTCTGAACCACATTCTCGTCATTCTGACCTGTTTGTAAATTTTGTCCAGATTGCAAGTTTTCTCCTTTACTCTTAACTCCCTTAGCTAAGGCTTCTTCGTCACTGGTGACTGACGTCACCACTCCTGATTCTTCAGACAGACTTTTTTCTTTCAAAGCCTTTCTCTTGTCCTCGCTGGCTGATTTAGATGAGTCTTTATGTTTAGAAGACCCCACATCCTCTGAAGATTTAGTTTTCTTTGGTGAAAGTTTGGAATCTGTTTTAGCTTTTGAATCACTTTGGCTTGATTTTGTGCCTCCTGGTTTTGGTGGTGGTTCTGGAGCTTGTCCTTTTGACTTGCTAACTCCACTCTTGTTAGAAGCTTTGGCCACACTGCTGTCCTCCTTTTTCTCCTTGCTTGTCCCAGTTTCCCTGGTTTTTGATTTATCTCTGCTTCTCGTTTGAGATGACTCCTTTAGCCTAGTTTGTGATGAATCTCTAGTTCGTGTTTTTGATGAATCTCTAGGAGTTCTTACTTTACTGTTGCTATCCTTGTCTTTTTCTTTTTCAGTCTCCTTACCACCCCCTTGATCCTTACTAGTGTGTTTAGAACTACTGTCATTCTTAGTCTTTGAAGATTTTTTCTCCTTTTCCTGGGAACTTTTTTTGCTTGACTCTGTTTCTGCAGAGCTAGGTTTCTCACCGACTTGGGGTCCAGAAATTGAACTCTGGGGTGCTGGTGGTGCATTGGGAACAATTGGTGCAGCAGTATTTCCTTGTATGGGGCCCTGTGTGCCCGGAGCCACAGGCACTGCCACAGGAACAAACTGATACAGCCCAGTGTTAGGGTCCTGTACCATCTGAAATGACACAGGGAACAGTCCCCCGGCACCCATCTGTACTGCTGGTAGGGGCATTGGCAAGTTACCCTGGCCCTGAGTTGGCCCACTGGGTGGTACTGACTGGAACTGGCTGGGAGGGGTGAGGAGACTTTGTGGAGAGGCTGTCTGGAACTGTCCTTGAACTCCTACAGCAGGTGGCGCCACAGGCAAAGGATGGCCAGTTGTTGTTGTTGGTGGTGGTGGTTGTGATGGCTTTGTATCTGCCTGTTGTGGCGCTTTGCTGCCCTCAGTCTCTTCTTCCTGCACTTCTTTTTCAATATCCATGGCAAAATTAACAGGGGCCATATTCTTTATGAGATTCTTTTTCAGTTCTTTCATTTTCTTTGCTAGGGCCTTCTCCTTGTCTCCAGGAGACACACTCTTGGCTGCTGCCCCTGACACAGGTACAGCAAGGGGTTTTAACTTCTCAGAAGCCCCTGAAGAAGCTTGGGCAGACCCATCTTTCACCTGAGATGGTGCCTGTGTAAGAACAATGGGACTAAAGTGTGTGGCTGGGGAACTAAAGGCACTGGGTATTCTGGGCTCTTGTGCCACTGGGTGAAAGGCAGACCCTGTGGGAAGTGAAGGTGCCCCCAATCCAATATGGCCACCAGTGGCTTGGGACTCTCCGACAGATGCAAACCCTGATCCTGGACTCTGTCTGAACATGACTGGACCAGAGGGACTACCACTACTGTTACTGGAGGTGTTTGCTGTGGCTGTATTGGCAGGTTTTCCAGTCACTCTTTTCAAACCTTGGAGCAGTTCTGGGTGTGTGAGGAACACTGTCCTGATGTCAAATTCCTTTGGCCTGGAAGACTGGAAGAGAAGTAGATTTTGTTTAATGTGTATGTAAATACACTCCTCATTTTTTCAAGCTTCTCCAAACAATGTTCTTTTAACATCAAACAACTTTACATTTCCCATTTGCAAAATAATAGTAACACTTGACATAACGATTGTTATAAAATAATATCTCATAAAAGTTAGTATTTTTTTTTGTTTTTGGTTTTCTTGCATTCTAAACCTTAAATTTCATCAATGAAAACAGACACCCTCTCCCTTCCCTGTCTGAACTACAGTGAAGCAGAACAAAATTATCTCCGATACAAACACTATGTACACATATGAAACACAGAATACAGACAGATATGATGTACAGAACATGCACCTTTCTCAGCTTCTTTACTGGGTTTTGGATCTCTGTCATAAGACGATCATGTAAAGAGACTGGCCTTGGTCGAGAAACTTCTGTGGAAGCTGTAACCTACATTGCAGCAAAGAAAATATAGCAGTTATAAACATGCAGCATTTTTTTTCTTTTTGCTGTTTTATCCCTGATATATCAAATAAAATACTATAAACTGCTTTTACTTAGCATGTTGTAACATAGCTTTTTATTTAATTTTTTTTTTCATGTACAGAATGTACATTTATATGATGTCTTGCTTTTTTCCATCAACTACAGAAACTTGCTTATCAGAATGTATCCAGTACTTACAGGTTTCAAATTATTTCTGGTATCCTCAGATCTGATACTGTCCAATATGTTAGCTTTAGCAGTATCCAGCTCTTGCTTTACAGATTCATTCACCCATACCTAAAAAATATCAATGGAAATCATCATTTTTCAAATTAATTTTTACTATTATTATTCAAATGCTACAGACAGATGTAAAAGTGAGTCTGCAGGTGATTCTTAGCATCACAATATTTTTGCTGTAAGGACATCACCTAATTCTCTGATACATAGTGTTCAAACCTCAGCAATAGTAGACCGATTTAAATTAATGCATCCAGCTAGATTGATGAAGAACAAGGTTAAATTCTGTAAATACTGACAGAACTTTACAATTACAATTACATGTAATTTACACAAGCTACCCTCCCTTTTTTCACCAATCGTCTCATTTTGTCATGTGTACTTTTAACAAGCACTTATTTACAGCTACAAAGGGTAACCCGAGATCTACTGTACATTGAACCAATTCTTTGGATTTCCTGCAAACACTTTACTGATCAGTTTATTGATTTTCTATACAAGGTTAAATGGTGTTTCTTTTCTGGGAAAAATAAATTTTCTGCTTTTGTTGCAAACTTACATTATTTCTGCTAAAGGCCTCTGTAAGTTCTGCATCCTTGTAAATATTTCGGCATACTTCTTGGGACGGCAAATCATTTAAACCAGTCCGAGCATTGCACAGCTGTGGAAACAGCAGAATATTTCAGCATATTTAAATGCATTGTGCAGGGTCAGCGTAACATAAATAACATCAAGCTCGTAAATTTCAAGGAAAAGCAGCTAGTCAGTGACATTTCGAGCATGTTTGAACCAGAAAGTGAGGGCATACATGATTCTATTTATCTGTTACAACAATGACTTACAATCTGAATTATTTTGTTGCTCTATTGGCTAAAAATTGCCAGCTCTGTGCATTTTCTTACCTGTAAGATGCTAGTTAGGCTGGGTCTGACCACAGGGTTGGCCTCTGCCATAGACGTCAACAGCTGCTCTAACTCCTCACTGAAGGTAGGGAAGCTGTCTGCGGGCAGTTTGTAAGAGGACAAGAACCACAGCACAGCAGCCAGGCCAAAGACACAGGTCTGGAATAAAATTTACAGTAAACTTATGCTGTGAACTCATGTGTGGACATGCATGAGGATAAACACAATCTCTGTTAGAATTTTTTTTACAAAATACCAACTAAAACCTTGTCATTTATCCCATCATTCCATCCAATCATTTAATTCAGCAATTTTGAAGAAAAATTACTTTTATATACAAAAGACACTTTTCTGAATGGTGATAGTTACCTTTAAAATTGTAAATATTAAAACAGGTTACACTATGGGCATATAACCAAAAAAAAATATCTTTATCATCACAAGACTTACACAATATTTTTGGATAAAAAAGGCTCATATCTAATTCATAAAATCACTCACCTGTTCATTGACCACGCCTTTCTCCTTCAGTTCTGGAGACAGGTAGATGACCTCCAGTTCGGCCTCACTGTCCACTGTCTTAAAACTGACCTGGCCTGATTCTTCTATGAGGACAGTGGACAAGTGAATATACAGGGCTGAAAAAAAAAACATTATCATTAACCATTATCCATAAACATTATGCAAATTGTGAAGTGAAGTGAAAAATATGTAGAATTTAACAAATCTTACATCTGATAGTGGAGACTCAGAAGTCAGTGAATGGAGAGAAAAATAAACAAAAGAAAAATAAAAAATATGAAAATTATGTAGAATTTAACAAAATTTTACACCTGATAGAGGAGACTTAGAAATGAGTGAATGGACAGAAAAATTTAAAGACCAATCAAAAATATTTTTGCTTGGTTTAGATAGAAGTGAACTAGACAACAACTCGCTATTAAGTGGCTAAGATTTTAGCAAAAGCAAGAGATCATGACAAAAATGTGAAGGCACAACAGAACAATGGTTATAAATGTCCCTCTTTTATGCACACAAATGTACTCAACAAGAATAAAAATATGCAAAGCTTGCACTAGCTTGAACAAACATGATTCACCTCTCACCTCACTGTCATCAAAATGTAAAAGGATAATGCTCAAACAAACAAACATTTTTTTTTTCATGAAATCAAGTCAAAAATCCTTTCCTGCAATAAACTGAGTGCTACCATACTAACTTGAGCTGTAATTTGGGAATTTTGGTATGCCATTTTCAACGACTGAGGAGTAAATTGTACTCACGTAGGTTGAGCCTAGCTCTCTGTAGCGCCAGTACACTCTCCCTGCATACGGCCCACAGCTCATGCTCCTGCATGCAACAGTTCAATCTCTCCAGTATTACTTCTAAAGTTTGGCTCTGAAAACACATGGAGTCAATGTTGACTACATTTAGCACCAGATACTATTCACATCTTTCTGGGCACCAAAGACACTACCAGGGTTGAAAAAATTTGAAAAAAAAAAAAAAAACATCTGGAAAATGCAAACAGAACTGAATGAAACAAAGCAATGTTGTAAAATAGGCCCACCCTTTATGAATCACATGTTTGCAACTAGCTTCTTAGCCATAATTTATAATAGTTTCAAACATATACCTCTGGTATTCAACTTCATAGTCTTATGGATGCCATATTTCTTCATTTCATTTGACACATCGGCATATCATTCCCTTGATAAAAGTCACAATCCAAATGTGCAAAAGTTTTGACTACAAAGCTCCTCATTCACCACACTACAGTTAGTGACCTAGATTCAACCTGACACCACGGCAACATACCGCTTACAATTTGAGCTGCATTCCTACGAAAAGCATTCAATTTCACAACGCGTTCTCAGAGGGATAACCTGTAAGAGGCACAGCCCACTTTTGTTTTTTAGATAGCCATAAACATAAGCTGAGGTAGGCTTTGTGCTACGCCACCACCACTATCCTTACCTTCCATTATGCCACTTGTTTTCTTTGCCCTACACTACATTACATCTGCTCAGAAATGGTTTTGTATGACGCTATTCAGTAAATACTATTATTGGGTCTCATGTTTCTTATCCTTACAGAGCTATTTTGTGTTGAAAAGAAAAAAATGACTTATGTGTTTATCTTGCTGAGCTTAAAATGTCTATTAGAATAAAACCACCAATTGTTGTTTACCCTAAACTGATATGGATATGGAGTGTGAAGAGCAAACATTTGATGAAGCCACGGTGTTTTAATAGAAACCAACTATCTTTTTTCACATCAGACAATCACAGATTCAAAGTATTTTTTGTGGGAGGGGGGGGGGGGAAGGTTACCATGGCAACAGCACTGCAAAGCCGGATTACTGTATTTAACAATACTCATCACATCTACTTAGTAAGTATTGAGTCTAGCAGTAGTAACATGCATCAGATTCATCGTCTATTTCAATTTTTATGCAATTCAGACTTCAACATCCAGACTTTGATATTAGTCTGTGACCTGCTCTTTCAAAACAATAAATAACACGCCAAAAGATAACACAATGTCCAGGAGTTAACATGTAAGAAATAAATATCACCCTCATTGTATTTAAAGAGATAATAACTCTTCTTTGAGATCCATATTCCATATTCTAAACAAACCAAAGAAGTAAAACTAAATTCTATTTTACCACCAAAAAGACAGGTGTTATGTCACAAGAAAAAATTATGTTAACACATTTTTAAAAATATGACATCCTTCAGTTAACAGAAGTGATGGTTAACAAATATCAATTTTCCCTCCTGAACTGTTTTCCTTTCTTTACAGATACTTTCTTAACAAATAAATAATAATACTTTGATACAGCTAGTGCTATTTGGCTGTTAATGACAGAATCTTTAAAATAATCAAATTTTATCAGAAAAACACCCCTGAATTAAGATGGTACCTCTAACTTCAAATGGAAATATTAAAATATCAAAATAAAAATCTTAACTTCACCATGTGATGAAATCATAGGATACAAAATTATAAGTCTTTACCTTTTTGTTTCCTGAGATTTCTTCTTTCTTAGGTGTTCCATATGAGGCAATGGGTTTTATTTGACTTGGAGTATTCCATGATCTTGTTCCAAATGCTGACGAGGTGGAATAGGGACTCCTATATGAACTAAACAACTGTTGTTCACGATTTCTAAACACAGAATTGTACTTGACTCTTTGGTTTGGTGATGAAAATACATCATCTTTAGTATAACTACTGTCACGTGGACTCCTCTCTGGACTCTTTGCATAGCTCATTTTCATTCTGAGTAAAGTGGCAGTTCCAGGACTGTCTGGTTCTGAGACTGAATTAGTACTGGTCAATTTGTCCAAGGTGCTCTCCCGGGCTGGAGTGGACTTCAAACTGGACGTTATTGATGCAGGTTTCACGCTTCTAGGTGGAGTGGTACTTTCACTAGATCCAACATATCCTGAGCTAGAGGAGGAGGATCTTTTGTTTTTTTCTGGGCTTGACTTGAATGGCTGAGGTCTGATAAGTCCAGAGCCTTTGTAAGGAGAGAGCCCAGACACCTGGGGTTGGTCAACCTCCCCTTCACTCTGACTGGACCTGACTGAAGTCCTGTCCTCACCTAAAATAATAAGATCACATCAGGGTTGTGTAAATAAACATACCAAATCTCTTTGAATTATTGTGAATTAAGCTGTCTGGTTATGAAAATAGACAAGCTACATATGGTGACTGTATTTGTTTTCAATAATAACTATAAAGACACATGAGTGTCCTTGTTAAGAAACTATAGATTTTTCATAAAGACCAGTGAAAAACATACTTCCTGATTTAGATTGCCATCAAATATATTTATGAACATACGCTTCTCTAAACTTTTGTCTTAAAAATGAAGGTGTCAAGCTGAACTTGTAAGTCACCCTGAACAGCATCACAATAGTCAACTCAAAACATCACTTGAATAACGGAATTTTAACAAGAAAACTATCTGGAACATGACAACTGCTGTGTGTAACTTACCGAGTCCATCAATTATGTCAGGAATATAAATCAAGCACCACTCCGCCCAGTGGACAATACAACCAACAAAATATTAAAGCTTTCAATTAAGCCCTACCTCTTATAAATACTGGCAGCAATTCAGAAATGGCATACATTAACAAAACCGCACTCCTAAAAACCAAATGAGCAGACAAGGTGTCTTGCAAGTTCTCAGGCATTCCTCTCCTCTCTCAGCTCAGTGTGAATATCAAAATTTATAACAAGTTGGCCATCCTGTCTATTCAACTGACCCTACAATTTTTCCAGCAGGTTACACAGGTGTACAAAAGAAAGCAAACACATCCATAGCTCAGTACTATATAACCAACACACTGTGGTTATCCAAAAATCAATGGCATAAGAACCTCAAGCCAGTGAATACTGTTAACGTAACAAATGCACATAGTGGCATAAACTGTGTCCAATATTTATTGATGCTAGGGTGACAACATGGTGGGAATAATTTTGGCAAATATGAGATGGTCAACTGTTTTCACATTATCAGCATCTTTTTGGTGATGTTTCAAGAAAAAAAAACAGTTGACAGATGTTTATGCATATTCCATAATTGTGTGTGTGTTTATTGAATAAAACAACTTACGAGAGTCAGTAACATCTGAAGTCATATACAAAATTGCTTTTTTTACATACTGGAAATACACTGTGAAATCAAACAACACAGATTAATATAAAGGAAATAGGACATTTCATATTTGGAAGCAATAATAACACTAGCTCAATTCCAGAATATTTGTTCTATGTGCAAGTTAAACCAATAACATTCTATTTTGCTTCCTCTTGGTACCTCCATTTCATAACGAGGATTACCATTACAATTGTGTATGTCCCCGCCCCAGCCACTAACATAACCAGATTGTATAACCCTAAACTCCCCTACACAAAACTACTCTATAGACCTGACCTACACATATACATAAGTCCTCACATTAGACAGAATGACCATTGCGTAATGGAAAATTCAATAAGCCATAGTATCAATTTTCACAAAAAGCTGCACAAACTAAAATGTTGTTTGTTGATTCTGAACCTGATCTGAAACCAAACCAACTGTACAATACAGGGATACCTCAAGGCAATATAAACTGTGGTGACACCATGTTTTTTTTTTATAAAAGTAACATTTGACAAGAGCTCTTAAGCTTGATTTTTAAACAATACCACTGGCTACATAATCCAAGTTTAATATCAAATGAACACGTCACCTTAAATCAGCTAGATACTAATAAATAATTATGTGAACTATTTCTTAATGATTACAACAGCCATACCAACCTTCTGTTGACATGTCCAGTTTTCCCAGGGCTGCCAAATCAAGGCAGACTTTAGCAGCAGATTTCCCTTGTAACATGTGATTGCATTTGTTCAGTACAGTGTCCAAGTCTGCTCGCTCGTCGTACTCATCTGTTGTAATTCCCGTAAGCACTCCGTTAAGTTCCTTACTCAGTTTCCCGGCTTTGCTGCTGGAGGAGGCATTGTATTTGGCTGCATAGAGCATTGTCATCCCCAGAGAAAATAGGTGTGCCTGCAAGATGGGAAAATGTAATATCCTTTATGTGAGGTAAAACACAATTTAATGCGTACATATGGCCTAGAGACTGCTGAATCATGTCAAAATGCATGTCTCCAAGTTGAAGTGAGTTTGTCATAAATTCTTCCCTAGTTGTTGCTTGCATCCTGAAAGAAATTATGTCGGCTGTATATTAAAAGATATGCATCCTGCTACCACAGCATTTACCTCCACCATCAGACCCCCTCAATATTCTCTCCAAACTGATGAAAACTGGTGCAACCAGCCACGTTTTCCTCCAAACATGTCAATAACCATGCAATTCCCTTTTATTCTTCAGCTTTAAGTAATTAATACCCACAATCAAGTATTGATTTGAATTCTGAATTCAGCTCTGTGCAAGCCTGGCTTGCAATATTGCTCAAGTACTTAGTAGTTCAACTGTTTATAATTTGGATTACACTACAGAATTGAGACATGAGAAATGAATGCCTACAACACAAAATATATAGAAACAATACAATAGAGAAATTATTGATTAGTGGATGCAGTTATGTCAACTTATACATTTATAAATTCAGAATCAATGAAATCAACTGAAAACAGAAGAGCCGCTAGCTTCAAACAAGCAAAATGTTGGCTCTTTTCCAGTGAGTTAAAATATCAGTTCATCATTTTTTTGGGTAATTTTACATGCTAAGAAAACAAACCATATTTTGCACATTTGCAAGCCCTTTTCACATTAATACCACCCATTTCACAGTTACTTAAAACAAAAAAGACCTTTGACCCTCCACCCAATTAATTTTTACTGAAAAAAAAAAAGTGAACATGAGAACATCAAAACCTCTGTTCTCATAACCACTTCCATGATTTCACATCTAATGAATAATTGGTGCTTTACCTTATATGAGTTTCCAACTTTGTCATATTCAGGAGGAATGTACAGCTGCTCTGGATCTGAAGCAGAAAAGTGAAGTAGCACGCTCAATACACAATCTGCCGCAATGGCCTTTCAAATAAATAATGAACTGCCATGGTATTTGATACACTGAGACATGTGGCCTTACTTTCAAGACTTCTCTCAACACCAAACTGCCCTCTGTTGGTCAAAATACATCAGCATGTGGGTACATTAGTAGGTTTTCTCAGAAAAGCACGTACTAAATCACCTCTTAAATTTTCATACATCTTAAATGTAATGCTGACAATGACTTAAAACTAAAACTTGCATATGCTGCAAGTCCACTATTCAACAATTTATATCAGCACTGCAAAAACCTGCTGCAACCAATAATTTTTTTAAATAATTAAATGAAAACACATTGTACTTTTGGGTGAATCAGTGTCGAGTCATAGTGAAATTTGGCTTTGCCTGTCCATTAAAAAGCACTCTGTCAATGGCACTGCCATTTAAATGTTATAAAATACTGTCCAGGAAAGAACTCTACACTCAGACATTAACCCTGTGAGAGCAGGAAATTAAGATTCCTGGAAACTGAAAGCAAGACTAGCTCAGCTTTCCTCATTTTACTATAAGACCTTTCATCCCTAATTAACGACATTATATTGAATGCACAGCAAATTATTATGCACAACAACACATTAGCCATTAGATGATCTTTTTGAAATTCTATCCTCACTTCTACTACTCACCTCTCAAAAGTTTAAAGTGATTGATTTAAGTTCAGATATTTAGTCCTATCCACACAACTTAATCTGGATACATCTGGATACATCCAACTTATCCAACTGACAACCACCTCATTAACTAAACTAAGTTGTTCTACATAAGAAAACACATTTTATCTTCCCTGATCTTTCTAACCTTTTCTTTCTGCAAGCACATGTTAGGAAAATATATTGAAATTCCAAGACTTTTGATACATAGGAAGCAAGAATTTACACACAGAACTGTTTTATCCCTCTCTTTGAATGAAAAGAACAAAGTCAACAGCTACTGGCATGCCTGTTACTTAAACACTGTCCATAAACCCTAACCATGGCACAGTAGCTAAAGTATTAAGTCCAGGTACACAGAATAATTTGCTTAGCACACACTGCTATCCAGAGTCCAGGGTCTTTTTTTATTACTGCATTATCACAAGAGGTTAAAACATAACTTCGGATAGGTCTCTTTATACGCAAAATGCAAACTAATGTACATATTTGCCTTTACCAAGCAAAGCTTCTATCAATCTATAATAAGCCCTGGGCTTTTGTTGCATGGTATTTACTGTCAAAATACCTCTTACCTTTCAGCTCACAGTGCATCAATGTATTGCTCCTGTATACCAGTATACTGTGTGTAGTTCATCACTGTAGAACTCTATACAAGTTATAGTACAACTATGATAATATCACCTTCGGAAGCCAAGCTAAGCTGTATAGGTTGATCATACGTTAATAATGTTATGAAACTGGCCTCATTCACTGAGTAGTTTTTCCGTGTTTATTTGACAAACACTAACTCTGGTATGATTTACCCAGGCCACTCTGGGTCGTGCTCCTCAGTTTGCCCCTATGTTTCCATTTGCCTTTCCTCAAACAGCACAAAACATTTGGCTTGCTCTCTGCTCTTCAGACTGAGCTGTGCTAGCAGTAACCTTAGGGAGCAGTCACAATAACCTCCTTCTCTCTACACCAACAATACACTTACAAAAGGACCAAACATGATAATGCTATCAAGCTAACTTTTCATTGTGCAACTGTAAAAGTCAAATTTTTCCACTTAATGTACGGTGGAGAATTTCTTAATAATTATAAACCATTTGTATTTTGATATGTAATACAAAATGTCTAATACTACATGCATTTTTGACATGCATAAACAGCCATTTAATACTTAATAACTGTATAAGCTTAATAACTCCTATACCCAGAGACACAATAATAAAATTACTACCATTCGCTCAAAAACTAAATTTTAAACACAGTGAATGGATGCAATCTTTTGTTCTCCAAGTCTGAACTAATTTAAGAAAAAATATTTTTATATTAAAAAATAATAATAATAATGACTGGAATATGTACGTTACAATACAAAGGACCCTGGTAAAATGGCAACCATATTTTTTAGCTCTAACATTAAATAAAAAGACAATGCAAAACTAAAAAAAAAAAATCAAAATTCATGAGTAACTGAATAAATCTATCAAAAAAAAAAATCAATATATTATCATGTCATTCATACCTGTGTTTAAATCCAAGAAACATATATTTCCAGCAGCATCAAATGCCAGACTTTCCGGAGTGATGCACAAGGTTTGAAACATCTCAGAGGAGCTGTGCAGTGATTTCAGGGCCTCACAACACTCCTTACATACCGCCCACAGCTCCAGCTCTGTCAAACAACCATCACGGATTGCCAAGATGTCCGCCAGACACACACGCTCATCCCCCTCATTCAGAGATGGCAGAGGATCGAAGTCTGAGTATCCTGACATGTTGCGGCCCTGTTATCTCAATTTTACCCTGGTGTGGCAAATATTGGCAGCATCATAAATTAACCCTGTGTAAAAGTAAAAAATATATATAAATCAGTCTCATTATGAACTGCACTCATATGTACTTACATTCTGTGTCAAAATCATTAGCAAAATAACCACAGGATGAAGGTTTCATAGCCAAATTTACAAAATTACAATTAATTTCAAAATTATAAAAAAATTCAATTTTCTTTCTGTTTTTGTCTGCAAAGGTGGTTATACTCGTACTTACTAGTACACAACTATTTAAATCAGAATGAAATAGAAAAAATAAATAGATATATAATTAAAATTACAAAATAAAGCATTGATTGATGTCAATCCTGAGAACAATATTACTTGTGAGTTTCTCCTTTAGATTTATACAAACTTAGAAAAAATACATTAACTGTTTCTCATACATCACTACTTATAAACAAGCTGACAAACAAGCACATTAAAAAAAAAAACACACATGTCAAAGTAGCATAAGTCTGCACAGCAATCACCATATATTCATATATGCTGTCATCTAGCCATCATATACCACTGCCAGAAGGTTCATAGGTGTAACCTCCTATACAAGTATTTAATTACAGACACCTGGTTGCTATTCAGGCAGTTATTAATTGTTATCTCTCAAGACTAGCAGTCTGTTACATAGAGGGTTGACAGTTAATTGGCAGTTTACTGGAAAAGTACAGATCTACATGGGACTATTGGAACTAAAACATAGGGATCTAAATAATGAACATTTTTCACCATAATTAATATACACATCTATAGAAACTATTTTCTCATTCATTGGCAGTTCTACTGATAAAAATTTACTGGGAGTGTACAGTGGGTTATTTGAAGTTACTCTATCATAAACTTATATTTCATTTTAGATAAAACAAATAAATAATAATAATACTCTTGACTTGAGCTGAATCACATTTTTGGTAGAAATTGTGATTAACAGGCAGTACCATGCCTTTACACCCCCCCCCTCCCCCCCCCCCCAGCCACCCACTCACATGCTCCCAAATGTTAACTCTGTTTGCATGGTTGACTTTCATATATCAATACGGGATGTGGGACATTACCAAAAGGTGCTCAGGAGCTGTCCTGCCTGATGCGGTATGATTGACAACTATGCAACCATCCAATATTTTACAAGGATCTCCCTACTGTTACATGTCTACAGTAGCAGTGAGGTTTTCATTAAATTTTGCCTCTTCAATTACCAGAAGTCACACAGAACTTGCAAATATTACTCCAAAGCTTAAATTGCTATGTATTTTGCAGTGTAAACTGCAACTGTACGACTTACATTTATCCAAACCAACAGTAAAAGAGTAAGTAACTAACTTATTAATTATAAGTAAGGCATGGTATCCAGATATCCAACTTGTGTAACTTAAAAGTTACGATTACTTTATTTTCTTATAATTTATTTTAAGGCTGGTTACTTTTAAATATAGGCAGATACGTGTGTCCAGAACTACTTCTGACGAATATCTCGGCACATCCGGCTACAAACTTAGGTCACAGAGAGTCGCTCCTGCTGAGCTGCTCAGGAATTTGACAATCCCTTTACAGAAATCCATGGGCTTTACCATTTGCTTCAAATATTCTAGAAATTCCTATTTTAATGTATCCATAAATGAGTACAATAAATTAAATCAAATTATACATACCTGTTTTCCTTTTTCAAAGTGTTCCAGAGAACACCTAAATTGGGCTACATGTTTATTAAATCTCCAGGCGAAGTTTGAAGTTCGCACCTGTCTGATTGTTTATGCTACGCTGACACACAGACAGAATTGTACCCCGCTAGGTAGCGTTGAGCAAGACGGGCCAAACAGGAGACTCGTGATTTTCATGATTATTTACGTTATTATTTTTTCTTCCCATCAGAAAACCAGAAATTATTTTGAAGTAAAAAAGCCATCCCATTATGCTGGTAGAAAAATGCAAGGTCGTTTACACTGTAAAACATTTTCTTATGCTTTCACCTTTGGAAACGTGTTGCGTGCTCAACAAGCCTAAAATCTAATTGTTAGTACATATGTATAGCAAATGTTAATGCAACTGAGAAATGTTTACCGCTCTCCAGTTTTATTAGTTTTGCTGTGAAAACAAGTTTTCTGGTCAAGTGTATTATTATTATTATTATTATTATTATTATTATTATTAAATTCACAATAAACGAATTTTTAACAAGCATTTCTTTCTTAACGTAAAAAAAGGACAAGGCGTCTTTGGTGTTAAATGTATTTAGGCTGGTACAAGATCGTATATTATAAAATTAAAGGGCAGATGAAAAGCTTTATAACAGAATAAATAAATCCGGCTTGGAATCAGAAAGATCTTTATATTTTGCCGTTTGAGAGCAGAATACAATTGAAAAATATTTAAGGAAAAACGTTGCATCCTTAAACTTAATCGCCAGTTGAGAGAATATGTAATGATATTTCCCTTTCCCAATAATTATTTCAAGCATATTTCCTTCCCAAGAATTATTTGAGTACTCAGGTGCCATGCAATACTATGTCACGCGCCTTGTACATGTAGCCTATAAGGTGACGTGGAGATTATGTGTGTGTTTATAAAGATGCTACAATATAACCAAGAGAAGTAATGAAGATTCCACACGCTCCTAGACGTCAAAGGATGTGTTTATTATGCCTTTAATAACAAATGAGTTCAATTACATTCGTTTTTTCCCATAAAACTCGACAAAAAGAAGATAAATCAAGTGCACGTGGAATATAAATTCGGATTCTATTTTTTCAGAGTTGTTATATCATGTAGGTAAAAGGGTCAGTAATAGAGGCCTTGCCATTTCAGCAAGGCATACATCAAAGAGCCGACCACTTTTGCATTCAGGGAGGTTATCGTAAGGGCGGTGGTGAGGTATGTTGCAACGTCCACGGCGTTGGCGGGCTGAAAACGCAACAGTTTCTCCCCAAGGCCTGGGATCATGTCATCGAAGCTATGAGCGATGCTTGGTACTTTTATGACATGCCAAATACCCATCAACAGATGTAGCTGGCTGCGATAGAGGAAAAATAGAATCCAGTGCAACTGCAATATGGATAAATAAAATGATCAACAATTTAATACGTTTAAACCGGTATTTTATCATATCATGATTAGATTTCATGTATTTAAGTCCCTTAAAATGCATTTATTTTTTAATTCTTTAAAGAAGCAAACAAGAAGGCACTCACCACCGAGATCTAGAGTCACAACTTACTTAGACCAGGGAATTATATGTCCGATATAATTCCCTGCTTAGACTGATTAAACACAATTAGTTTTGGTGCACTCTCAACTAGCAAAGCACTCAGAGAGCGCAGACTTCCGCCAAGGCAGCTGAATTATCATTATTTTCAACTGTAAATAAATAAATTAATTAATCAACTCAATTATCATTATTTTTAGTTGTTTATTGATCAACTGATTTATTAGATAAATTATAATTATTATTTATTACTAAATAATTTATCAATTGATTAGTCAATTAATTCACTAATTAATCATCAACAAAATCTAGCCCATTTCTTACTTATCCTAAAAAGTTCATCAAATGCCTTCATAACTTTTTTGTATAATTTTGCTAACAGACAAATTAATCAATCAAAATTAAATAATTGGCAAATTAAAATTAATCAATTAATGTATCACCACCAAAATCTAGCCATTTATAACCTGGTCCCCTCCCGATAGTTTCTGAAAATTTCATCAAAAGCCGTCAACTTTTTCCATATTGTTGCTAACAGACAAACGAGCTAACAGAACCAAAAACATTACCTCCTTCGCAGAGGTAAAATATAACACATTGACAGAGTGACGGACAGTGGACCTCTATCTATTTACTGTTAGAAGGTACGTGAACTTTCGAGAGGCTCTCATAAAATTTCAGGGATGGTTTCTTTCTTTTTAATACAGGCAATGCAATTTTTGTCAGTTTAGACTAAAATGTATAAATGTGTATTAATTTTGATTGTTAATTTGTACCAGTGCAAGCGACCTAGCGTAAATGTGGTGACAGACTCTAAGTTTTTACCATCAAATCAGCCCATCGAATACACGCCAAATGCCACACATCAAGTCTCCAGGGGTACTTCTCCGTGTACAAATACGCAGCATGGCCCCAAGTCACCAAGACCACCACTACGTGTAGAGCTTCCTGCAGTAGCAACTCCAGTTTTGTTTTTGTACCTATTGACGCTGCTTCCCCGAGTTTGATCGTGTGTGTCCCTCTATCTACCTGTTGCAGGGTGAATATACTAGTTCGATGATGACACAACGTTAAGTTACATAACGGAGTAGCATGTGCGTAATAACGTTTTTCAACTAGGTGGCAAATAATATGCCACTGGCATCTAAGACTGTGTATATCACATGTTATTTTTGTCACGTTTTAATCACGGAAGGAATTCCAAGGTTCAAGAAATACTTTTCTCGGCGCTTTCGAGATCTTTTGAAAATCTGTCTCTCATTGGTCAAACGGGTAATCGAGTCATTGGCATAAATGTAAGGTTTAAAGGGGACTTAGTATGAAAGTGATCTATAGTCATATATAACACAATGTACAAACATCTGAAATTTAAGTAGGCTAAGCAAACTATTAGCGTTTTTTATCAGTTTTATACGAAGGTGTCAATACTTCAGTGGGACTGCATGGTGACACGTGTTCTTTTCCTGTAGCAAAGCAGACACGAGGGTCCAGTTGGGACAGGGAGAGAAGTTCCACTATATTTTCTCAGATAATTCTCTGGTTAGTTCTCTGCATTTTTCTGCGCCTGTCCAGCGAGACATTTCGAGAAAAAAATCACCCGCTGACCTTTCATAAAGAATATGGGTTACGAGTATCTGGAGTGTGTTAGCGAAGATAAACATTGAAATAATAGTAGGGGGGCTACGTCAGATCAATTTTAAAAATAAGATATTAAAAGCAATAGAATCAAAGTCAATAAGTGTCATTTTCTTTGTTCGCTTTTTTGTAATGACAAAATGTATTTGCAGACATCACTTTAAACATATAAAATACAGGGTTACTACTTCATATGGAATATTTTTTATCATTGTTATTTTTGGCTTGATTCATCAAAACAGTATGTCATTGAGTGATAAAAATATCCAGTCTTCTATTGCGAGATATTTTGGTCAATAATATCAAATCTGGCATAAGATGTCATTCAAAAGAAAAGAGCACCCCCAGAAAACCATGTCAACAGTTTGAAGTCAGTATTAATTTTAAGCTAAGATATTAAAGAAAATGATAGCCTCCGGACAGTGATATGTTACACAGTCAAAGAACTCATTACAGTAAATCATGAAAAGTCATCAATAGCGGTTATGACCTCCAGCAGCCGCTTGCACCATCCTCATCCTACATGGCATACCCTGTGACAAGTTTGGATGAGGATATCATTCCACGCAGTGATATTTTACTGTCGCAGTTCGTCACTATTTATTGGCCGATGACTATAGCTATTAATTCTGTGAGTTACTTCCGCCCACAGATTTTCAAGTGTGTTCATATCTGGGGAGTTTGCAGGCCAGGGCAGTTGCTGAACCCATTGGTTTCAAAGACAAACAGTGATTCTGCGAGCTCGATGTGGGGTTGCACAGTCGTCTTGGTACTTACAAATCGAAGCATTATTTACTGTAGAATGTCTCTGTAGGAACCCTGGTTGAGGTTGCCTCCTAGAAAAACCAACTAGTTCTGGGCACAGGCATGAAATGCTGCCAAAACAGAGACGTTAACACCCCCTGCTTGCACCCTAGGCAGTACACAATCATCGTTTTATGTCTCTCGTACACGTCGGCCACGGATTCGACCGTCAACCCTTAAAAACTACATATCTGGCCTCATCACCGAAAACGACGTGATTCCAGTGTTTTGGCTGCAAACGCACGTGGTCCCCAGCCCATTGCAGATGTCGCTGGAACACACTCCAAAGATTGGCCAAACCCACCCGTTTTTATACAAGGTCAGAAATTGCCGAAAAGACCACCCCTCACATTTCTGACCACAGAACATGCAACTGCATACATCAATTGTTTCAAGAGTTGTGTAGTAATTAGGTAACACACCTGGCTACACATGGAGCGGCACCTCAGTTTTGGATTTAAAGTAGTAAGAGAGAAAATAAATATTTTGTAGAAAATTTACTAGCCAAAAATAATATTCCATATAAAGTAGTAACCCTGTAATTTCACTCCTTACTAGATTTAAAAGACATCTGAACACTAATGATCAAAAGTTAATAAACACGTTTTTATTTTTCCCAACTTTCTCAAAATACAAGCCTTTTCTTAATTTATAATCATCATTACTAAAATATATTGAATGGTGTATTTTCTTAATATAACGATCCAACATGCATGGGATACTAAAGTATATAAAAGAAAATCGCACAACATCGAAACTTCAAGGTGTTGCTTATTGTACCCTATTGTCAAATTTCATTGCTTTTTACAAAAATAAATAAATTTATAAAAATTTCAAATTACAGACATTAGAATTAAGCACAATATTATGACTTAACTTTTAAATAACCACTTAAAGAACTTAGTTTGTGAAAGTAAATTAAAACACTTTATTAAAACTTTCTTTAAGAATGCAAATTTACAATAAAGTTTTAAAAAAGTTCACGTTATCGTTTTCAGGCATATGTCTCAAAAGGGCGGCTCTCATACCTAAATGCATCCGTACAATCGTTAAAAGTACATCTCTTTTAAAATCTTATAAATATATAGATCGAAAAATGCAAAAATCACGAAAATCCCATCCGGCATCTCATATATGTTATATCATGTAGCTAAAACGGTCAGTAATAAAAACCATGCCATTTCAGCAAGGCATACATCAAGAAGCCGACCACTTTCGAGTTCAGGGAGGTTGATGTCAAAGCAGTGGATACGTATGAAGTTGTGTCCAGAGCGTTGCATGGGGTAAAATGCAGCAGTTTTTCTCCAATGCCCGGGATTGCATCATCAAAGCTATAAATTAGGCTCGGTAACTTCATGATATGCCAAATACCCATGAACAGATGTAGCCGGCTGCGATAGAGACAACCTGATGCCCAGTGCATCTGAAAAAGTAATTGGAATAATATATATACAAATCGATAAAACGCTTAGTCATTGACTGTACCCGGTACTTACTAAATATATGGGGGTGCCTTAGATCAATTTATCTAAAAGACACAAATATATACCTGACACTGATGCAAGAGCACAGTGTAGACAAGACCGACTGCTGTCAGAACATTTATCACAATGCTCTAATATCTTCTTTACATGTAATACTTCCTCCCACAAGCAACTAGAAGGTAAATGTATCTGGGTTTATTGGACTACTATAGGCCTATATATCAATTTATCCTAAATCGAGGAAGATAAAAAAATTGTGGACTAAAATTTAAGACCAGTTTTCGATTTTTTTCGTCTTTTCTTCCTTCCTTTCTTTTCTTTTTTTCCAGAGCACACCTTTAGGTGTTCCAAAAATGGACATGAATGTACCATGCTGGCGAACCCCGCTCATTTCATTCGCAATAAATAGTTATATAAATAGGAGAATGTTTAAAAATCAATTTATGTTGTAAATACTATACAAAAGTGATCTTCTTATTACACTGTTATAAGAATACCAATGTAGAATCCTTTACCGTTATGTCAATCCATCGAATGAAGGCCAAATGCCAATTCTTCTCAAGTCCCCACGGGTATTCCTCTTCCGTGTAGAGATATACAACGTGCCCCCAGGCCACAATCACCACAACTACATGTAAAATTTCTCTCAGCAGTACCTCCAGTGATGTCTTGGAACATATTGGCAGTTCTAACATGGAATTCATCTTTTTCACTCAAGGCTCTTGCATAACCGCGTTCACTCGAAGAACAACTAATCAAATGGATTGCCGCCCAATACTAACCGGTAAATTATGTTGCATATTGTAAAGGTAATTAACATAATTAACATATCTCCCACAATGCATTGTCCCTTCTCTACCGGTTAGCCAACATGCCCATATGTGGCTGGATGTTATGTAATAAATGAGTAAACATAAAGTAAACATAAGTTACATAACAAACAGAAAACTACGACATGGTGTCAGAATCGGGATCTACATTGGATGTAGCATAATTTGGAGATTGGATGACCCACAAACTACAAGATGAAAAAGGAATTTGAATCACTAAAAAAAAAAAAAAAGAAAGAAAGAAAGAAAAAATGGAACACATGTATGGGATACAGCCGCCTCACATGGACTTGGAATCCATGGACTTACCGCGTACGTTCAAACTTTTTAAGGAAAAGTGTGAATTGATATTTGAAGGAGCTTTAGATGCTGTGTCAGAAGAAAGACAAGTGAAATTTCTTCTCCTTTGGATTGGAGAAAAAGGTTGCGAAATTGTGAAAACTTTTAACATTGATGATCCAGACGTGTTGACAAAAGTTGGAAGAATACACGAAGCCCAAGAGTAACTTTCGAATTCAGAGTTTAAAGGACAATAGACACATAAAAATCCATTTCTCGAATTTTGAAGATTCAGCACTCAATCTATACGCAAGAGGTATGTTTTAATGTATTCCCGCCATTTAAAAATTATAAAAACAATCTATTAGTAGAAAAAAAGCGTTTTAGTAAACCTCACCTCAATATGCATAAATGAAGCAACAGATCTGGGTCACGTGGTACTGCGACGACAATGAGGATAAAGGTCTATGAGACTTAACTGAGCTGCATACAGACAGAATAGTTTAGGAAAGTTGTGTTGAACGGAGTTGAGCAATTTTCGTTATGCCTCAGTGTGTTGCCGTGGGATTCACCAAAATTGCAGCTCGCCTTGACAATTCTTTCTTTGCCTGTGACGGTCTTCCGTGACTTATTTACTAACTTAGGTGACAATAGTTGCGATGCTCGAGATCTCGGTCACCTCAGGTGTTTTAGATCATATCAAAAGCTGATAGTCTTTTAGATTAACTGTCATCAGCTGGCAAGCTTACTAATTGCTGATGCATTTTAAATGCATTGTAGTTGACCAAGAGCTCGTTAACAATAAAACCTGTTAATTATGCACCGCTGCAATTCCCAAGCCAGGTAATAACAGGTATCAAACTCGTCTTGGTGGGCTTTCATATTTTTCAATATATCTCATTTATTTCATGGGGTTATTTAATTGGTATTTGTAAATGACGTTAAATATCAATATTTAAACAATTAAGTTCAAACACAGTCGCGAACATTAATAAAAGAAATTGTTCTCAGGGTATGTTGAAGCATGCGTATGCCCAGGCATTACTTCTGTGGAAGAAAACGTGTTGAGGAAAAACAGGAAAAAGGGCGGTATATTAAAGAAATAATGGGAACTGCTGTAATAAAATGGTTCGTAATCCTAATTCGTTTATGCTTTGAGGATTTGTTTCTGAAGGTTATTTCATCTGAAATATTAAATAATTTAAAAGATTTATAATTTTATAACTTGAAACGCAAGTTCTGCGTCTGTATGCAAAACTTTTTGCAAATTTGTAAGCTTTGTCAAACCCAAAAACATGTAGCAGATCAAGGTAAAAGAGCATTGTTTGCTACTAGTAGCATGGAAAAAATCATAATTTAATGTGTTTACTAAATGTGCAGTTTTACGTAAGTTAGTACATTTTAAATTATACATGGAGATTTAACTTGGTAAGGGATATAAGAAAGCCACAAATGGATTTTTTAAAAAGAATGTTGGGTGTAAAAAAGAGCACTACTAATAACTTAGTTCATTGTATATAACTTAGTATATTATGAAAAACGGGAGATACCCAATTCATTTAAGTATGAAGCTGCAATTATTTTAATATTGATTTAAATCCCCTCTTCGAAAAATTGTATTATAGCACCGTGCTATAAAGATCTACTCAAGAAAAAAATTTGCTTGGGTAAAATTGAGTACGGAATGAACTGGAGACACTTGGCTTGTCAATAAGATAACTTTATACTGTCCTTGAAAGAGTAAAGATTGAAAGATGATTTAAGACAAACTTTGACGGGGAAAAATATCCACAAAGAGTAAAGGGCTATTGCACCAACATCTTGTTGAAAGGTTTACACTGCAATTCTGTTTAAATAGGCTTAGGAACTAATTGCCAAATTTAGACTTTCATCATATAACAGGGGCGTAACCAGACCTGCAAAAATTGTACGCACAGATTTTAAAAAATTACAAGCGCGTACAACAAAATGTAGACTAACGCAAAACATAAAGGACAGCGTAATCACAGCAAATGTACCTCATATAGTAGCTTAATTTCCATTAATAATAAAATCATCATTTAAGTCAAAAATATTCTCGCGATTTAATAAATATTCTAATTTACCCAGAACGGTATATTTATTTAAAAGGAGGCTAACTGAAATATAGTTTTATTATTTGTTTGTGAAAATTGCCGTTGTCACCCTGTTAGTTTGGAGGTCTAAGCTGGATCAAGTCCGTGTTAAAATTCTTATGAAGCTGTGCAGGAAAAATTCTTCCTTTGTTTCTCTAGCTCCTCGATAAACCTGGTGTTCAGATTTTATCTAGTACCCTCAGGTCTGCGGGAGCTGCTCTTTGAAACTAACGCCCAGGTAGATTTTTACCAGAGATAAATATCGCCAGCGAGAGTGCGTTCGATACTCGCAAGACATAGGCTAGAGGAGAATTGAATGCCATTTAACCCTCTAATTAAGAGGTTAAGGAAGTTCCAGTTAGATGGATGATTAAGATAGGACTTGTAAAGGTAACAGGCATTGTTTTCCTCAGTTTAATAAAAGTATGCAAGACGGGGTTTCAGCGGTTTAATTAAATAAATTGAATTTCACAAATAACATGGACCTCATATGCAATAATCAACAGTACCCTTAAGTCATTCAAATGCAGTGTTTTAGACAACTTGGGATAACCATAATTAAATGCTTGTTAAATAATTGAATAGACGGGAAATGGTTTTACACAGCTTCACGAGGATTTAGAACCCTCGGGTAAGAGATTTGAATGAGTATAAACTTTTATCAGAAGCCAGAAAACAGTTAGACAATGAAGTTCAGTTTGACAGCTAAGCACGCTCTGTTCTCCAGTGGCACGATTGTCGTCATCGGACCACGTGACCACGTAGCTCATTAACTCCCAGGCCGAGCAAATAGGACGTTTTTTAAAGCCAAAAATTTACAAAATGAGCTTTTAATTTGTGTATTTGGATAAAGATATCGTTAGTTGGGCATGTTTTCTGAAGAATATGTTCCGTTCAGGCCATGCTGACGCTGTGGCCATTGTCCTTTAAACTTAGAGCATGCAGACAAGAAGCAAGTGAGAGCATTGCTTCTTTTGTCAGACGAATAAGATTCGTGGCAAATGAGTGCAAATATACCGATTGTTGAACAACACATAATTGACACTCTTATTTTTGGCACTAACTCAGAGCGAATTCAGGTGAAATTATTACTAAGAGAGGAAAATTTGACACTAGATCAGGCTCTTGTCATTGCACGAATAGAGGAAGCAACTTAGAAACAGACTGAGGATCTTCACAGTACATCAGCAAAGGAAATTCATGCACCACGACCAAGTGGAAACAGTCAAAGAGGGAGACCGCGTTACAGACAGCCACAACATCGCACTCCTCGCCAGCAAACTCAATCAAAGGCACCAAGCAAACAAGGCTCACAACCACCACTGCAAGAATGTGGTAAGTGTGGAACTGAACATGGTTTTCAACAGTGCCCAGCTAAAGGCACAATTTGTCTCAAATGTGGCAAGCCAGATCACTGGAAAAGGGCATGTAGAACAAAAACAGTAACTGCATCGACCCATAGTCTCAATTAGTAAAACTGTGCATTCAGTAGCAAATGAAAGTGACAGTAGCAGTGTATACTTTGACTCTATGTATGTAGATATCAGTCGAAACAGTCCCCAGTCAAGCCATTTACTGACATTGAAGTTAAAGTTGGGAACTCTACTTCAACATTACGTTGCAAAATAGACACTGCATGGTGCTGAGGGAAATGTAATATCACTGTCTTCTTTCAAAAAACTTGCAATTAAGCAACCACTAAAGCCTACAAATGACACGATTACTGCATATGGTGGCAGTAAGTTACCAGTATGTGGAATAACAACATTGACATTCACAAATGACAAGGTCATGGTGACCTCAGACAGCTATATTGTGGACTGTGAAGGACCAGTTATACTAGGAATGGAAACCAGTCAGAAACTGGGACTTGTTACCCTGAACATAAATACAGTGACATGACAGTCCATAGGCCTACTATCAGAGTATAAGGATGTCTTTGAAGGTATCGGGAAATTGTATGGGGAATATCACATAAATATTGACCCCACTGTTTCTCCTGTTGTTCACCCACCACGGTATGTACCTATTGCATTGCAGCCAGCACTCAAGGAGGAGTTGGACTCTCTCGTTGAGCAAGGGATCCTGTCACCTGTCACACAACCAATGAAATGGGTAAACTCGTGTGTATGTGTAACCAAACCCAATGGAAAAATACGTCTTTGCCTTGACCCAAAAGACTTAAATACGGCAATTAAACGTCCACACCACTACCCGCCAACACTGGATGACGTCCTACCTCAGCTGAGTGGCGCGCATTATTTCAGTATACTTGACCTTCGGAGTGGGTATTGGAATATCCCGTTAGATGAAGAAAGTTCTCTCCTGACTACCTTCAATACGCCTTTCGGAAGATTTAGATACAACAGACTACCCTTTCGCCTCTCGCTATCTCAAGATGTCTTTCAAGCCAAGATTGAAGAAGTCTTCAAGGACATTCCAGGGAGTACCGGAATCGCCGACGACCTTATCATAGCAGGTTGGCAGGAAGACGAATCTGACCACGATGCGACTCTGTGCGTAGTATTAGATACAGCCAGAAGAAAGGGGACACGCTTTAATGAAGACAAGATGATTCTTAGAAAGGAGGAAATTCCATTCTTCGGTCATATTATAGGAAAAGGCTAAAACAAGACCCAGCAAAGGTAGAAGCCATTAATGTAATAAAAGAACTGAGAAATGTATCCGAGCTACAAACATTCGTTGGAATGGTAAATTATCTAAGCAGATACATTCCCCATATGTCTCAACTTATAACCAGTCTCAGAGACCTGTGCAAGAAGGAAAGTATTTTTCAGTGGAATGCTGAACACTGTATTGCATTCAACGAGATAAAAAGAGAAATAGCAAACGCAACCAACCTCCAATTCTACGACAGTAGCAAGTCACTTACACTCCAGGTTGATGCTTCATCTTATGGATACTAATTACTAACTACTCATCAATTAGTCAATAACAAAAATTAGCCCATTTCTGCCTTATCCTAAAAATTTCAGTCAAATATCTCTATAACTTTTAGCATAATGTCGCTAGCAGACAATGCAATTTTGGTCAGTTTATACTAAAAATGCATGGAGTTGGTACCAGTGCAAATGACCCAACTTATGATAACTATGGTGGTGACAGGCCCAAAATCTTTACCATCAAATCAGCCCATCGAATACACGCCAAATGCCACATATCAAGTCTCCAGGGGCACTTCTCCGTGTACAAATACGCAGCATGGCCCCAAGTCACCAAGACCACCACTACGTGTAGAGCTTCCTGCAGTAGCAACTCCAGTTTTGTTTTTGTACCTACTGACGCTGCTTCCCCGAGTTTCATCGCTTGTGCCCCTCTACCGGTATATACCTGTTGCAGGGTGAATATACTAGTTCGATGATGACACAACGTTTAGTTATATAACGGAGTAGCATGTGCGTCATAACGTTTTTTCAACTAAGTGGCAAATAATATGCAACTGGCGTCTAAGACTGAGTATATCACATGAAATTTTTGTCACGTTTTTATCACAGAAGAAATCCCAAAGGTTCAAGGAATACTATTTTTGGCGCTTTCGAGATCTTTTGAAAATCTGTCTTTCATCGGTCAAACGGGTAATCGAGTCACTGGCATAAATGTAATGTTTAACGTATGAAAGTGATCTATAGGCATACATAACACTATGTATAAACATCTGACACTTAAGTAGGCTAAGCAAACTATTAGCGTTTTTTGTCAGTTTTGTACGAAGGTGCCAATACTTCAGTGGGACTGCATGGTGACACTTGTGCTCTTTTCCTGTAGCAAAGCAGACACGAGGGTCCATATGGGAAGGGAATGCATTTTCGCTATATTTTCTAAGATATTTCTCCGGTTAATTCTCTGCATTTTTCTGTGCCTGTCCAGCGAGACATTTCGAGAAAAAAAATCACCCGCTGACCTTTCGTAGAGAGTATGGGTTTCGAGTATCTGGAGTGTGTTAGCGAAATAATAGTAAGGGGGCCTACACATGTAAGTCAGATCAATTTAAAAAATCAGATATTAAAAGCAATTTAATAAAATTAAATAATTCTCAAAATTCAAACCTTTTCTTAATTTAGTACCCATCAATGCTAAAATCCATTGAAGAGTGTATTTCCTTAATATAAAGATCCAACATGCATGAAATACTTAAAAGTATATGAAAGAAAATTGCACAATAGGCCTACTGACATTTCAAATGGGCTTAATGACCGCGACGCTGAGGTCTTAAAAATTCAAGGTGTTGCTTATTGAACACTTTTGTCAAATTTCAATGCTTTTAACAAAATACAAATAATAATAGTAAAAATAAATGAATATTTAATTACAGACAATAAAATTGAACACAATATAATTACTGAAAATTTAAATAATCATTTAAAGTACCTAGTTTGTGAAAGTAAATTAAAACATTTAATTAAAACTTTCTTTAAGAATGCAAATTTACAATAAAATTATAAAACGGTTCACGTTTTTCGCTTTTTTTATGGCAGACGACAGTTCGTGTTATCGAACATAAATCTCTAATTAATCTTAAACATATCCGTACAATCGGTAAAACTTCACCCCTTTTAAAATCTTATAAATATAAAAATCGAAAAATGCACAATTCACGAAAATCCCATCGTGCACCTCATATATGTTATATCATGTAGGAAAAACGGTCAGTAATAAAAGCCATGCCATTTCAGCAAGCCATACAGCAAGGAGCCCACCACTTTTGCATTCAGGGAAGTTGACGTCATAGCAGTGGAAACGTAAGACGTTGTGTCCAGAGCGTTGCATGGGGTAAAATACAGTAGTTTTTCTCCAATGCCCGGGATTGCATCATCAAAGCTATTAACTATGCTCGGTAATTTCATGATATGCCAAACACCCATGAACAGATGTAGCCGGCTGCGATAGAGACAACCTGAGGCCCAGTGCATCTGAAAAAGCAATTGAAATAATCATATATATATATATATATATAAAACGTTTAGTCATTGACTGTACCCGGTACTTACTAAATATATGGGGGTGCTTTAGATCAATTTATCTATAAGACACAAATATATACCTGACACTGATGCAAAAGCACAGTGTGGACAAGACCGATTGCTGTCAGAAAAATCATCATAATAGCCTGGTACCTTCTTTACATCTACATGTAATACCTCTTCCCACAAGCAACTAGGGGATGATGTATCTGGGTTAGTTGAACTACTACTACATGTACCAATTTATCCCAAACCCAGGAAGATAACTTTTTGGAAAAAAGGTTAAGACCAGTTTTCGATTTATCTTCATCTTTTCTTTCTTTCTTTCTTTTCTTTTCTTTTCTTTTTTTTTTCGGAGTACATCTTTGGGGTTATTTTTAAAGCGGCAGACCCAAGACCACAAGGAGAAGGACTGTCGAAGCAGAATTAAAACAACTGGGGAAAAGTTGGGGGACAATCCAACATCTGGCTTGAGACTGAGAGCAGTGGAGGACCTTTTTTGATGCCCTAACCGCCCGACGGGTTAAAAGGAGACAGTAGTATATCTTTAGGCGTTCCAGTAATGGACATACATGTACCAAACTGGCGAATCTCCCTCATTTCATTCACAACAAATAGTAATATATATTAAAAAGAATGTTTAAAAAACACTTTATGTTGTAAATACTATACCAAAGTGATCGTCCTACCAGTAATATACACAATTATACAACTAAAAATGTAGAATCTTTTACCGTTATATCAACCCATCGAATGAAGGCGAAATGCCAATTCTTCTCAAGTCCCCACGGGTATTCCTCTTCCGTGTAGAGATATACAACGTGTCCCCAGGCCACAATCACCACAACTACATGTAAAATTTCTCTCAGCAGTACCTCCAGTGATGTCTTGGAACATATTGGCAGTGCTAACATGGAATTCATCTTTTTCACTCAAGTCTCTGGCATACCCGTGTTCACTCGAATAACAAAGCGGCAATGACTGGGACTACAGGACAGTAGAATCCACCAGCCACTGCAAACTATCAGGGAAATCCGTGTCCGCCAAAGCTGCAAAAGACAGAATACTTTTTATCTGATGGGTGTTGTTATAATAATGGTTGGCAGGAGAGAGGAATGACTTGTGACGTACGTAATAATAGAGCACCCTCATTAAATCAGCGTGACAAGTGATACGGATCAGGGTCTCCCCCTGCCAAGTGAGTTCTGCAGCTAGTTGTCTGGTCACTAATCAAATGGATCGCCGCCCAACACTTACCGGTAAATTTAAAGAAAAAAAACAACAAAAACAGTATCTAACACTTAATAATTCAGACATAGGGTTGCTGACCACACAAGGTAGCTGAAAAACATTATCAATTCACAAATACTTATAATTACTGACAATACTTACAAAATGAAAGACGTTACTATGCTAGTGTAATTACAGTGCACAACATGAATATATAAATATGTCACAGGACAGATGGTGATTTAACACAATCGCCACTTGTCAGAAGACAGACAGCCACCGAAATCTGTCCAAGGACAATTGCTGATTATCCTAGAATAAATGACGATCAGCATGTCCTAGGGCAATCGCTATTTGTCCAAGGAGAGTTGCTGATCCATCAGTTTGGATTCTTCACCTAGTGAAAAAATCCAAAATGGATAATGATTTTAATAATATCATCTTTTATATAAAACGAATTTGGACCGTTTTTTTATTAAAGAAATCAAAGCCTGTCAGTCATTTAAAAAAATATTCAGGTAGTCAAAATCAATTTTGTAAAATTCTATTCAAATGCCCTATGACTGATTCCGATCGCCATCTGCCCTAAGACACATGTACATTATAGCAATGACTTTCTACGTCATGATAATAGAACCAAAACGACACAAGTAAACAGAATAATAGTAGTCTTTTTTCTTAGCGTCAGTTAAATAAATGAATTCAAAGTAAAGGCGACGAATGTAGAATGGTTCACAAACAAGAACGTAAAATAATGTACAAACAGTGCAGGCATAAAACATTAGTTTGATATAAAGGCTTGCAAGTTGCTGTTTGAACGCTGCATTCTGGTTGTTGAGTAGCTGTGCAATTGCGCTCCCACTAACAAATCCATTCACAACAGCGTCAAAAAATAGTAAATTGTGTTAGTGAAGAAAAACACAATAGGTCTTTCTGTCTGGCCACTGTGAGTTTTCAACTGCACGTACCATTATGTTAGCAAGGTTCTATAAGAAAACATGAAGACCTTAAACAAGGCACTGAAAAATCTGGAATAAATATTTAATCTCCCGTAAAGCTTAACCGTGATGGAACACATATTAAGGGATCGAATTCCTTGGTACAGCGTTTCACCATGACATAAAACTTCTTCAAAAAACACTACGGGTATCGTTACCTTTCAAAATAATTTCAGTATAGGGGCTATACATTGGAGCTCGCTTTGAGTGATTTGACTTCCAGCCCTGCGTTCATGCCTTTACCTGTCATCTTGAAATCTCCTTACCTATAAAGATAATAGCGTTTGCTATAAAAACAGTAGCGCTATTATCAACATAATATAGTAGGGAGTTTTTATCAAATCGTTCCAGTGGGATGAAATAAGGTTCACTATATTTTCAAAATGCTTATTTGTGTGAGTGGCAGTAAGGGCTGAAATCCCAAACCCAGACTTCTCTTTGCTAATACTAACTCAGAATATCGATCGTTGTGTAACCAAATTTGGAGTTTTATTTACTTTCATCTTGCTAAAACATTTATATAATGCTACTGCTGGCTCGTTAAATTGGAATTTTGACAAAAAATATGGGAAAAAAGGTTATTTATACTTCCGTATCTCGTGTGAAGTATATGAATCAATAATATGAGTATTTGAGATAATGAAATGAAATTGTATAACAAATTGACAATAGTGCAAATTACGAAAAATTGCCACTTAAAGCTACGAAATTCACCAGGCACCTCTTGCTTTGCTTGATACACGTTTTGTTTTAGACTCCTCTCTCTTGAAATGTGTTTTTATCCCTATCGCAGCTGATATACCATTTATGTTAAATTTCGCCAGATCGATTTCAAGAATGCGCAATATAAAAAGCAGCAGAATAAAAGTAAAAAAATGTAAGTGTATTTATTTATTTGATGAAAAATATGACTCTTACAAAATAACTGAGACCCATTGTTTTTAAACAAGGCGTGAGAAGAAAAGTAACGCCGCACCCTCTCACTGAATCTTGAGGGTGTGACCCCTCATTTTAATGTCATCCATTCATCAAGATCATCACCTGGCTTTCGAAGAAAAACGACCCCAGCTTCTCACTGCCAAGGGCGTAATTATACGTGATTTCCTGTATAATCACGATTTTAGTTATGTCATTTGTTTCCGTTTCTCCCCAAGACCAATAATTTTTTGCATATTTGGTGCATTTAGTTTGACTACATTAAGCTTGCCATGGTAATACTTGTGCTTGTATACTGTGATGAGTTCAAAGAATTCTTTTCGTTGAAGATGGAAGTCATTGGAAATAATCATTTTTAGATTTTCTCCTGTGCATGTTATGAATTCTGTGTCATTTAAATAAATTTTTAGTTTTAAAATATCTGATGCGAAATTACTTAAAAGAAAAGGGAATAACAGGGAGGTGAATTGTAAAGAAAAGGGTCATTCTTTCCTCCGAAAACATAAAAAAATCAAATTATCGTATTTGAAACGTGCTCGGCTTAGACGTGTCGTGGATGTTTGGGCTAGTCGAGAGCTGATAAACCTATCGCGTAAACCGGATGAGTTCCGAATGCGCGTTTATATTTTTTTGTGTCTAACATACCCCTTTTTCTTAAGATTTTTTTCTTTATGTAATTTATACGTTTGTGCAGAGAATGCCAACAGTTTCAACGAACAATTCATGCAATTTTAAGGTGTGAGTCCCCTTGTACTCTGGGCATCAGGCTTATTTTAAAAATGTTTCAATAAACTTTGAAACCCTTTAAATTTCGGATCTTAAGAATCAACTCAAAAGATTGCATGGTTTCAAATAAATAATCTTATTAACAGACCCAATACCCCGGTGTTCAAAAGATACATAGTTCAGAATTTTTATTAGTCAATCTGAAAATCTTTCTCATAGTGCTTCTGCACGCTATTTTGTAAATGGCATTTCCGTTTCAAAACTTGAAGCACATCAGCAATTATGTGCCATTTATTGGGCCTTTATTACACCTTCCTGCGGAAAAAGTCGTGTTTTTAAATAGTGTGTTTCTTTAGGAATTAAAAGTTTTTTAATGAGTGATGGAAAATACAACCATCCAAATAAATAAATAAATAAATGAACACGATTAAGAGAACAATTATTCTATTTAATGCAAAAAATGATAAAGTACATCAGTATGCGTTGGAGCTTTGATTCTGTGTTTAACATACTTTGGAAACCTTCCAAGCTCCTCTGAATAACCCTGAGAAGTAAGAACTCCTAACTGCGTTAAAAAGTTTCCCGTTTCTTTTCATAAAAGTTTTGAGGTAAACGATTTTACTACCTACCCAGTTTCAAAAGGCGTATGTCCATCCATTAGATTTCATACAAAATGTTTGACCTTCAAAAAATAATGTGCTAATAGACTTCTAAGAGGTTTAGGCGACTAAGGCTACCGTACCACGGAGATATTCCCGCGATTTCTCAGCGCCGTTTGGCTACATCCCGTATCTTTCAGGAATTACATTAGAAACAGAGAAATTTACGCACAGGGAAGGTATTGAAAAGTGACTAGATAAAAAAAGGGCGTTCGATTTTATTCCAGTAGTAAATAAATCAGAAATTGCTCGGTAGTACGGTAGCTCTATGTGCCAACCCATTATATACACGTATATAGTATCTTACGATATAAAGCCAGCTCGTCATTCCTGTATGCAACATCTCCTTAGGAGTTATTGACCAAAAGACAAAAGAGCAAAGTAATGAATGACAGTGTGCATATTGACCAACGATGTACCCACTTACGTTTGACTATTTATATATAAGCTTCCTGCATTGTAACCAATCAGGAGAATTTAATGTTAATGAATTATGCACTAATAATGGGATACTAACAAATTAACACGACCGTGTTGCATATTAAACAAATATGAAAATGAAACTTGAATTATATAATTTTGCTCTAACAATGCCAAATTCTTTGTCAAAATTTATTTATGTGTCCATTTTTTATTAAGTTTTCTTTACAAAACTAATGCAGAAAACCTCAGCAAAATTCTCTGGGTGCAAACCTTTTTACGATTTGTCAATTGCAAAATAAATAGGATGCCAAATAGAAATTGATTTACAGTAAGAGGTCCGTGATCTGATACGCTAAATAATCGACACCGAATGTTTCAAAGCTGAACATGCTGAAATTCCTTGGGACGTCCATAATTCCAATTGCTAACTAGCCTTTCAGACGTCAGGCAAACAATTGCCACTATTAGCCAAGAAAAAAGTTCTTGGTAAAATGATAATTGGAAACTTATTGTAAACATCATGTGTAATCCCTGAGGTGTCTGAGAAAACCGCGTTTGAAATTGGTCGAGCTGATACTCTTTTTAGATAAAGCAAGAATTGATTAAGGTCCTCACGAGTGTTAATTATCGTAGCTGTTATTTTTTTAACGATTGGGCATGTCCTGGACCAATTACAATATCTTTTCCTTTGCTCTTTCCCCTTTCCGTCGTATAATATGGTATAATAAGAACAAATTCATAACACGTATTATGCATATAATATATCTTACAATGTATAACAATATTTGATAAAACCTCAAATCAATTGACATACACAAGTGTAAACTTGGTGCTGACAGTGAATTTGTTCCTTCTCTTGACAAGCAATTATGCGGGGTAATTAAATAAATGCACTTTATACACCAAGACCTCAAATACTTCACTTAAATGTATGCTAGTCTACGGTAGTAAGTTTTGGAAGTTCTGGTAATCGTTCCTCCACGAAGACAGAGGAGACACGAGGGAGGATAAAAGAGCACTTGTCCCTCCTTCCTCCCAATATCTCGTATTCCAATGTGTGGGCAACATGAGACATTCATAAATCTAAAGCACCACGTAAGAAAGGCTATCTGGCAGCACTTACTGTAAGTTACATCAGGAGAAAAAAAAATCTTGTATATTACACAACTGTACAGAACACGTAACATGCATGTTATACAAATATACTTACATGGTTCATCATGCCATTGAATGTAACCTCCACACTGCATGAATGCCTATTAGTGTTTAAAAAGTCTATTTCTAAAATGTAACCATATTCATATTCTATAAATGAAAATATTATGTTGGATGGGTACCACCCAATCACTAAGTTAAGGCTGCTCTGAGAACATATAGGACTTAGATTGGAAGATCAAGGTGACCATCCTATCGCATTGCTGTCAATGGTAGCCTTAAAATATATTAAGTTAAAGCATCGATGCACCAGTCAGTGGGAAGTTAACAGTTTCAATACCATACCTAAAGACAAAATATGTGATAGCATACTTCAACATCATTTTACTCACAGGTCTCATCAGAAACAAGATCCATACAAAAGACATTTATGAAAGTTGTAAGTTCACCAAATGCCTGGGTTCTCTATATATTAATATAAGAAAAATATTTCTCGAGGGATATTCCACCCTTTTGTTATTATAGTAATTCTGTCTAAGGCGATTCAATTCAGTGCCTGCATGCCTCTTAAACATGTACAACCATAGCAGAAAAGTGGAAGCAATGTAAAATTTTTTATCCAGTATGTAAAACTAGAACAAGGAGATATGAAGCCTACTTTGAAAACTCAAAGAAGAATGGAGACACGCACACAATACCAAGAATCTTGAATGTTAAGATGCTAACAGGTATTATTTGCAATATTTAGCTCTACTAGGTGTACGCACTTGAAGTAAGGAAAATTTCCTCGAGTTAAGAAATTCAATAAGTAATTTTCTTAAAAGATTGTCTTTGTAAGACTGGGAAATGACCCCTCTTCCATATTTGATTATTTGTAAATAAAATGAATATAACAAATAACAAAAGTAAAAAGTCACAATACTTACATACATTACTCTATAAATCAATTTCAATTTGATTATCTGGCAAAAAAACCCCCTACAGTTGTTTTTTTAAAACTCATTATCTAAAGAATCCATACTGAGTGAAACATACAAATATTTCTAATTTCATTTTCTAGGAATAACATTAATTTTAAATCTAGTATACATCTATTATCCCCCCCCCCCTCTTCCCATCGTTCTGTTTTTGCTTCAGGGTCTTTTAATATCACATGTTATATCTAAATATATAATGCTCCCATAACGAAGTAAAAGCAGGCCTGATGAACACTTTCTAACAGTTCAAGTCAGCAATAAAATTAGGCAAAATAAAATATTTGAAATGCTAAATGGCTGCCCCCTAGTATACTGAACTAAAACATAATATCCAGTACAAATGAGACAGAATTCAGTACTGTACTAGTAAGTAAATGAGGAGAACCTCTTTGTATTTCACATAAAGCATATATACATATTTGTAGTACATCAAATAAGTTTTATATCAGTCAGTGTATTTGTGTGCCTGAACTTTCTTTGTCAGGATGTCACAACATAAGACTGTAGAAGGAATATAATGGTCTCTGCTCAGTCAGAAAATAGAGAAAGGTCCATGTAAGTCGACGTAGCATCCAAAATTTGGGAACTACAGCATCAAATCAGACATCTATTGACAATTCACATTCTTCTCGGTCCTTGTGCGAATAACACCCCTTGGTACATGATTCCATTTATTTCCATGCTAACAACTAGGGAATTGTCAAAATCAGCCCGGCCATCACCTAAAATAAACAAAATAACCCTGATTTAATTTGTGCAGACCAAAAGTGAAAAAATTAACGAGCATGCGAAAGAATGGTGGAAGAAAACTGGTCATCTTTGAATATTTGCCAAAGTATTTTCCACCATACCTTTTAGGAAATAAAAAAATGAAAAACCTCTTCATTTAATACCAGTGAACTTCTATGACAGAATTCAATTCATATATGCTGACTGCAATATTTGACTCCGTAGATTCTTATGCAAACCAGAAGTATGTTCCTCCTCCTTTTTAGGTTAATGTTTTTTATTACCCAATACTTTGTTGATTTTTGAAAAAAGCACCTGTCCCCCACGGCTACATTGTAGATGGTAACAGATTCAAATCAAGATAATAAAAATCACACCAGATTTACAGCCTTTCTTACAAGAAAATCCATTAATTTTTCATAGAGAAATGGTACTGTCAACCCTCCAGAGCCAAGAAATTGTCCACAGATATAATAAGCACTTGAATGTATAACTGTCAGTTAATGACAGTGACCACAGGCGAAAAAGGTGTATGCTGTCAATTGTATGATATACCTTAAGTAAACACAGGTGGCGCTTCAATTCTTGCCGAGGTTCACCAAGCAAAACCATTGCCACACTAAACAACTAGTTATAGTTTCATCGGTGACATGAGAAGACTATAAAATATAAGACTAGCCCTCAGCCCTATCAATTGTCACCATTATTTATCAAGTAGATATCAGATGATAATATCTATCATTACCTTCAATGGTTAACTGCCATTGTTCTGCCGTCTCATTTTTGGGGACTTGAGAAATGGTTCTAGTTGAGTGCAACAATTGTTCAAACCATGGTGGTGAAGAAATATGCTATTCCTTGGGGGAATACTCAGACGAAAGTCATGACAGTTACAGGGCTATAATTTATAATGGGGAAAGGTGTGATCTACTTTGGGATGACTTTTAGCACCTTATCATTAAAGTATTAAATTTCACTGTGGCTCCTCCAAGACGAGAATGTCTGTTCCAGAATTATGTGTTATAATAATACATTACATATGATACAGGCACATCGTGATACTGCTTCATGATATAGATGGAAAAAAGTTAACAGACCAAAGAGAATGATGATGAAACTTGCACATTAGTAAACAATTTAACAATGGGACACTTTCTCGTTGAACTCTGGAAATGATACACATTTCATATTTGTTGACTAAAGGGTTTTCTCGTCTCTTAGATAAAGGTAATACATGAGTACCCACATTCAAAAATAGATGGAGTAGATAATTACACTAAGCAGTGATGTGCTTCTATTTTAAAACACATCTACAGTATAACTCAAATTGAAACGCAAGGAGCTGCTATTCAAAACACCAAACATACAGATTTCTGAACCTGCGGTAAATTATTTCACTTTGGTCCACATGGGTCATATTTAATAATTTTGTAGTTTTTGAATTCATGCCAAGGTTCCAGAATGATAAAAAAATGATTTCAAAGTATTTTTGTCTTCATTCATGTTTCAAAAATGCACAAGTATGATGAACCAAAACCTTTTTTTGTTAATTACACTTGTGTTAGGATTTCCTAACCCATAAAGAAACATTTTATATCAAAACTAAGTTTTGTATATAAACATACCAGGATTCTCTCATAGAGATAAAGCAATTGCATGTAGATAAAAGCTGTAGTAACAAATGCATTACAAATGTCTAGGGGTATAGATCTGTGGAAGTTCAAACAACAAAACGACCACTTACTTCTGCTTGTTACTTTCAAATGTGCGCTAGGCATCCCTGCATGTGCTAAAAGTCTTTGCTCTTCAGTCATGGGAACATGAAGACGCTTCATTGGCGCATCACTATCGGTATCCCTGCCTCTTTCTAAGTCTCTTTCCCGCTCACGCTCTCGTTCTCTTTCCTTGTGTACCCTCTCTCTTTCCCTCTCTTTTTCCTTTTCTTTTTCGATGGCAGACTTTGTCAGGGCCTCCATCTTACGTGTGGCCTCTTCCATCGCCCTTGATGCAGCCTCCATTGCTAGAGCATCTCGCTCTGAAAGGTTTGAGGAGGAGAGGCGAGGGTGTTTGGCAAGAGGGGTTGTGGGTGAGGTCTCTTCTTCACCTGTGGGCGAAGAAAATTTTTCTTGTTTGAACATCATGTTCCACCAAGGTACGTTCCAGAATTTACTCCACATCATCATAGCTGAAAGTGGGAGAATGATGGACTGTAGTTTTTGTCAGTTTACTTCTCCATCCCCACAATGTAGCACCAATAGTTGGTGTATCTATTTCATGTCTAGCTTTGCACAGTTTTGACTATTCTAATAAAATCTGGCCCTATAAAACTACTCTGTGATGTGTGGAGTAAATTCTGAAGGTTTATATAATAATATCCTAAGACTGACAGTGGTGCATTCTAATAAGTCTTAGAGCATACAACATGAAATGTTAATAAATAAATAATTTGAAAATTTAGAACATTGAAAACAAAACACAATCAAAACAAATTACCAAACAGCATATCACAGTGAAGAAGTCATAAACAACTGTTTTATTTCTTTTCAAGTTTTAAAGCTAGATAATTAAATGCATTAAACAAACAGTGGTTACTGGTAGTTATTTGATCATATAATGAATGCAACTTGAGTAATTAATAACATTTTTGATTAACTTTTTTTACATATATAACATAATCCTTTGGGTATTTCTTATGAAAATACAACACATGTTTTGCGGTCAATAATTTCCAGCATTTCATTTTATATTCATAATTATCCAAGCCTCTTGGGGGACTATTAAAGAAGGCACTGCAACATAAAACAGAATGTTCTTTTTTTGTTGTTGTTTCTCATAAGAATAGTCCATTTGTTAAAGAGAAAGCAAATGTTTAATTTCTTTCAATCAAAAGCTGATTTAACCACATTTACCATATTATTTTAGTAGACCTAAGTATCATAAAAGGCATAAAAATAAAGGTGGAATATATAAATATCTTTTAGATTTTTTTCAGGATAGTGCTTATCCACTCATCACACAGGTAAATAACATTTGGTACCATGCATACTGTAAAATAATTATAAAACAAAACAAAACAAAAATAATTACATTTTATTTTTTTCTTTTTTATGGAACAAACAATGGTTAAAATAAAATCACAATAAAAAAAAAAAAAAAAGCACAAGCACAGAAAAATAAAAATATAAAGAAAAAGTTAGTCTTACCAGAAGATCCACAGCTACTGGTTTTCCCACTGCCCATTCCATTTAAGCCACCATTCAGTCCATTGCTGAGTGCAGAGCCAAGGCTCCCATTCAGACCATGAGCACCAAGGGAACCATTCAGTCCAAAGTGGAACCCGTTTAGTAGTCCACCATTGAGGTGATGTGTTTGTGGTGGCACCAGTGTTGGAGCACCAGGAGACGCGAAGTCGTAGCCGTAACTAGGCCTGCGTCCTTCTCGCCGATTGCCATCAATGGCTGCTTGCAACTCTGATGGAGTGCTTAGTTTTAATTTCTCACATTCAAATGGGTAGAGGTATTTCATGTATCTGGAAAAATTTTACGTCATCTTTTCATTATAAAAAGTTTCCTAAAACATTTTTGGTTCTTGTCAAGAAAACATTGTTGTAATTGCAATGCAGAGACTTACACAAACATCAATAAACAAAAGTAATTCCACTAGCAGTTATAGTATGGACTTTTGGTTAAAAGAAAAAAGGAAGAAAACAGCACTTACTGTGTCCTTAATGTAAATGCAGCACTTGTGATAGAGGATGGTAAGTTGAGTCCTTTGGTAATCTCACGCCAAAGTTTCTTGTTGATCACTTCCACCAATCCTCCTTTGGAGACAACCAATCTAAACAATTCATATAAATCCAGTGTCTGCTTTGCCATGATTGGGATTCTGTTGACAGGTGTGCCTGAAACGAAAACATTTCAATTCATTAGGTTAATCCATGTATTCATACTTGATTGAAATTTCACAAAGATGTGATTGCCAGGTTCCACATAGTCTGCATGGCAATACGATTTTGTTTCATTTACTGTCCTTTATCTGGGAGTGCAGATACTGCATTTCTTGGCGCAACCTTTGTTAGTCGCCTTTGCACTATGCTCAGCTGAGAACCACTTGCTCACTGTTTGAAACAACAAAAAGTTTTTTTAAATAAATGAAGACATGCATTTCACAAGTGAAGAATAATGTTTTGTAGTTCCTCTGGAAAAAAATTACCAAGATCTCAATCCGTTAAACCTATTTTACATTGAGCCGTTCTTGTAATTCAAATCTTTCAAGAGCAAACAAACTTAAAAATCAATTTCAGGTCAATGAAACATAGGTCGTAATTGAATTTGCAAAGGAATTATCTCTGATTGAAATTTGATTTTCTATTTTGTTATCTAGAAATCTTATCTGAATCCAGTGTAGTTTTCAAGTCAATTGGGTATTTGTATGCATTACACATTCAGGCAACAAGACCTGTTGACCCAGACTAGTGCCTCAAATAATAAATTCTCTTTAGAAGTATTATTTGACTTATCACTCATGAAAACTTCATTGAAATAATCACCAAATGATTCTGACGGCATTTCACGAGATGACACAGATATTTCAGCACGATTACATAAGATTACTATTAGCACAGGGACTGAATGAGGCACGTAATGACCTTATAATTATCAGAGGCTTCATTATGTGTAATTGAGTCATATGAACCATCATTAAAATGACAAATGATCAAGAAAAATTACTAAAGACAGATTTTAGAAAGCAGTTATGCAAGATGTTGAATCTAATAATGCACAAATGTAATGGAAGTTTTGTGAAAGATTATTTCCATGGAACAATTTCTTTGTTTTCACTTGTTTTTCTGTTTGTCGTACTTCGACATTCAGTCAAGGCAACACATTGTCATTTCATCCCTTTTCCTCAAGTTTGATTATATGATGTCCATTTATTCCCTTTAGTACACTGATGATTTTAGAAGCATGTTCTACAAACATTTATATCTCACAATAATCTATCAAAGCTGGACTATTAAAGCTGTGATAGATTCTGTGGCATGGAGTTCAGAGACCCCATTACTGCTAGTCCCTCAAGAGAGAGTTACTTTATTGAGTGTGGAGCTGCAACAGACAGTAAATTAATGGTAAAAATCAAATCATCGGCCTCTCTCAATATGCTTCAGTATTCTCCACAGACCATCACCAAACTACCAAGATAATATCAAAATGATATTAGACTCAGTGAAGGTGATTTGGGTTGATATAAATGACTAAATATTTTCATATCTGGGAAATAGCTTCACACCTCATATCTCTCTTGTCAGCTGAGGCCCACACCTTGCCATAGAGACATTCCCAAATTGATATTGGAATTAGAAATTATACATGGATTGAAGATATAATGCAGAAAGGGAGCTGGTCCTCTAGGACACATCAACTTCCATTTTCAGAGATCTATCACTGGAAGATAATAAGAACAGAATGATAATGCAAGAAAGGCAAAAAAGACACCATGATTGGTTTATGAAGTTTTTTTTTGGAATACTGTAGGCATGGGTTCTGGTAGCATTAGTTTAACCTAATTGCAAGGGGGTAAAATGTTGTCCAAGTTGTAACCCTTTTAAATTAGGAAATTCAAAAATTGGAAAAGAAGAAACATTTGCTGCATTGATTGTTGACAGATATAAACAGTGTTTGGGCATATATAAACATTCAGTTTAAACCACAGAGACACAGAAAATAGACATGCAGATACATTTGTTCAGGGGAAAAATCAAATTGTGGAAAATACTTAGGAAGTTTCAATAAATATCCAATGTGCAATCATGTCCTTTTGGATTTGAATCGTACCAACCCTATTTCCACACAGTCTGAAATATGGATTGAAATATTTTTGTCCCACTTACAACTTTTGAATTAAAATATCTTAGTTTTTAAGAAATGCACATTTAAGTATAGAAACTATTCAGTTAAAAAAAGGAATTAAAAAAAATATGAATCATCAAAAAGAAAAAATAACAATCCACGTAGCTTACTGGACATGGGTTAACATGCAATGCGATTTTCTCAACATTACAAAGAATTTTTCTTTTAACAACATTTCAAAATGACATATATCCATTTTTTCATTTCTTCACAATCTTACAATTTTTTCAGTAATGTATGTTAACTATATATAGCAAACAATATGCAAATACATGGTTGCATAACAGGCTATCTTGTCAAAAGGTGTTTCAAAATTAAAATGGACATTGGCTTGGCTGATGGTGGACAAGGGGCAAGCCAGGTGAAGGTTTTGCCCTGGAGTGAGATGGCTGCACTAAATCATTAGGACAACATCATTTAAAGCCCAGAATCTTCAGATGTTTTCTTTAGATTAGGATAAGTTAAGATTACACAGATATGATGGAAACCTGTTCACAGAAGACCCTACAGCAACTACTTCCTGAGAAAAACATACATCTTCAATCTAACTAAGGCTGCAAGTGCCTCTTCAACTATCTTCCAATTTAACAAGATTGGCTTGCCCTGGAAATCAGATGTTTTGGGGCACTAAGAAAGATTTCACAAAAATCCAAAATGTGATTTAATGACAGTCAAATAAAATAACCTTTTTGATGTCAATTTGGCTTAGAACCAACAGGGGAGTTTTGCTATTTCCTGACACCCGTTGTTTTTGCAACCACTGGTAAATGTTCAGGAGGCTGCTGGACCAATACATCATCAGATGAAAAATCCACAAGCCAATTATTCCCACAGATCATATCAAATGCCAGTCTTGATTTTTCTCTGGAAATTAAAACTAAATCTTTAATTTCTTTCCCATCTCCTGTCTAGTTTAGACTGCCTTCTGTGTGTCTCCACTGTGACCTTGATTGATTGCTGCAAGTCATTATCTGTCTAATAAACAACCAATGTGGTGTACTGGGATTGCTACATTTTATTGTATTTGTTTCTATTAAATTAGGATCAGTAAAATGCCCCGGTTTCAAAACCTACTGGTCTGAAAGTAATGGTGTGGAGGTGCCAAGTCCTGCAAATTTCTCACAACCCCTGAAGATTAAAGGATTCCCCTTTGACAAAATTCTCCAAAGAGCCCATCTATAAATTTTTGAAACCTAATAAACTCCAAATGAAACTAATTTTTGTCCATCAGGTTCCCGCAATAAATAGTATTAAGCCCTATTAAAGTGCTGAGCAAGATCTGGAATCAATGAAAAGTTTGATTGCCTACATCTGCTCACGCTAATTATTTCTTTGGTAGAATGTGATTAGGTCGTAGCATAATACAAAACCCAGAGTGCAATGCCGAAGTTCTAAACTCTTTAAAAGATGCTTCAGTGCACAAATAAAGATTATGTCCAACTGGGGGTATGTCTAGAAATTCTGATATTTTCTGGATTCTATAATCATGAAATCAATTGCAAGAAGGCCAATTTTGGGCAAATGTTGTTCATTTTTGAAGTGATTTGCAAATTGTCCACACCCTCTTTTACTGTGATAAGGCTGTGACTGCTGCCAATGAAACAATGGATATCATTATATTTAGCATGATCATTACCACCAATATGGCTAATTTAAAATGGTTATATGCAAATTTAAAAATGGATGCAAGGAAATGTTGTTAAAAATGCAATAACAGCAACAGTTAGCAGGAAATGAATAAATAAAATAAATTGTTTTGCATCTGAATTAACTTTCTTTTCCAATTTCAAGTTGACGTCATATCCGCAACTTTATGTACATTAGTCCCAGGTATCCATTTTGGCAATGATTAAAAAAGAGAACAAGATCGAAATAAAACATGCCCAAACCATGAAAATAACTTCTAATGCAAATACACAGTTTGAGCAGTGAAAGAAACCATCCACAAATAAACCCTGAATGTACTTCGGGTGACTGCAAATTCAAGCATATTTCTAGAACCTGAATTTCCATTAGTGGGAGGGGTTCATATTTTCACCAGCTGTAGTGTGACATTACTACCCTATTTCATTGAAATGTTTTCCCTTTTTTCTAACTAAACTTGATGAGCCGTGACCATCCATGTGGTGGAATCATAAATTATATGTACTTCAAAACATGGCGAGGTCCGGTGGTTCTGCACTCAGTGCTACGTAGAATTTCAGATATCCCTTAGAAGAATATAGATCTAACTTCTACAGGAAGCAAAATTTAAGCTGAAAAACTACAGTAAGTTAACACAAGTAATTTCCTCTTTGATAATAAAAGTGATTATTATAAATAAACAAATAGACCTAATATTGATGTCATCAGCACGCAATAACTTTTATCCACTCACCCACCCTCCTGCTTATCATGGTCTATCAATATGCAAACTAAAACAAATAAATGATACCTTTCAAAAATCACTCTATTTTGAAAATTGTACAAAATCTGGCACAAAAAAAAAAAAAAAAAAAAAAAAAAAAAATTCTTTAAATCACAACTTGTAACTAAGAAGAGGAACTTTATCAACCTGGAAAAGTAGAGAAGATGACTAACAACCACATACTCATTTCACTTAGATTACCTGGAAATTTATGACGCATAATCAGCCATGCATCATAACAAACATTCAATTTTCAAGACATTACTTTTTTTATGATGGTTTACATAAAATTGATGGAACATGTCAATGTCTGCTAAACAAATTACCAAATAAATATCGAGATTTTGGCGAACCATGAATATTTTAATCAACATTTCTCAGCCAACTGCCACATATCTTTTGAAGAACATACAGGCATATAATGAAAAAAATAATAAATACACGGGCAAACATTGGAAACCAGTTTTTGCCTATGATTAACCTCATGAATAAACAAAAACCATTGTCTCCAAGAGACAAAGAGCATTTTCTAAATTCAAAAATTACTGTGTCCTGCATAGAAAAGTAGATGAGCACACAAAGCCT